TTTATCTGAAAATCAAATATATCAGTGGTAAATTCTAGTTTTTGTAGTTTCTAGTTTTCACAAACGCATTTAGTAAAAACTAGTTTTAACTAAAGAAAACGCGTTCCATCTAAAAACGGGTTTTAACTGTAACATGTACATACTCGTATATGCATACACTCGAAAAACATTATTTCTTCAGGGCAGTCGGGTATAAACGAAAATTTATCAAGCCATGCTTGATACGTGGATGGCCGGATCGAAGTTCTTTTTTTATAAAAGAAAAACTATAAACGGACTTACAGTTCTCCTGATGATATGTGGCTACTGTAGTCCACGGAGACCTGCTGCTTCAAACAAAGTAAGCTACATGGCGATGTCACCTCTGAGGACCAAGATGGAACGTCTAGCAGCGTGTATTTATACTGTCTCTCAGTTTCAGTATATAGGAGTCTTCTAAGCAGAAAATGGTACTACCACATCTTAAACTTGCTTATTTAATTCTTCTAATTTCTTCTCGCCCCTTTGACATTGAAACTTTTTTATTCAATGTGGATTATAACAATACTTATTGAAACTCACGTTTTTCATTTACCAGTGGTTCGCAAAAAAACCTCTGTCCTGGGAAGAACCAGCAAGAAACCCAGCGGGACTATTTTTTTTTTTCAAGTGATAGCTTACAATCATGTTTACAATTAACAACACAAGACAAATTAGAAATAGCTTGGTAGCGATCACACTTCCCAGGGATTATTATCATCCATAAATTCTTTAATATTATAATAACCCTTTTTATACAAAATTAATTTAATAAAATTTTTGTACTTTGTATATGACAAATTTTGTATATTTCTCACTCTACTCTACTCACTACTATTTCTCATTAAACTGGATATTTTAAATCTTCGCCATCGCCTTTGTAAAATCAAATTGATGCTAATAAATGTGCGTTCAATTTTAAAGTTTCCGCACACTGATTCATCTTCAAACTTTAATAAGTAAAAAGTCCGATGGACTTTTATCTTTACTATCTCAATATTTTTTTTCCCAACGATACGTAATTGTCGGGAATAAAAAAGGCTATTACATTTTTTGATTTATATATTAAAGTTCTTTAAAAAAATAACGTTTCAGTGTTTTCCAGAATCTTAGTATTTCGTGTAAGTGTAATAAACACTGAATTAAATTCATTAAGGTTTTTTTTTACTGAATACATCTTATTTGAAAACGAAAACCTTTAGTTTTAACTCAATTATTTCTGTCTATTCCGCAGACGAATATACGCTAATTGTATAATTTTGCTTTCCATAATTTGTATCTTTAGTAATTTTAATATCATCAACGGAAATATATAAATATAGATTATATTTGCCTGTGATACCGATGAGTCATGAAAAGACTATGGGATTGTAGTTTGATGAGACAATGATAAAATACATTTTATGTGTCAAGGTGAGTCAGACTTTTTTCGGACATTTTAAAATGATAGCTGATACAATGAGATAAGTTTTGTCGACAGATATAACGCTAGTTGTACATAATCTACTGAAGTAACTACATGTCACCATAATCACATAATTAGTATATTTTGGATATTTTTTTATAATAATTAATAAAAAACTCCTCATGTACTTCCTGAAATATTTTTATGTAATAATAATAAGGTATTCGTTAAAATACCATTAGTAATAATTTAATTATTAATGACATTTAGAATGTAGCCAGGCCACTGGCTATAGAGACAAGTTTATTGTACGAAGGTGGATTGAAAAGTACTCGGCCTAACCAAGAAAATAAACACATACTAAATCAGTTATATTTTTATTTTTCTACATAATCACCATCAAGTTCAATACACTTTTGCCACCTCCCCTTCCAAGCATTTAGACCGTTGAAAAAAAAATGATTCTTCCTTAGAGTCAAAATATGCGTCTACAGCTGCTTTGACCTCGTCGTTTGTCGAAAATCTTTGACCTCCCAAGTGCTTTTTTAGGTTAGGGAACAGAAAGAAGTCTGATGGTGCCAGATCAGGTGAATACGGCGGATGCGGTAACAGTTCAAAGCCACAGTTGTGAATTTCAGCCATTGACTGTACTGACGTGTGAACACGGGCGTTATCTTGATGAAACAGGACTTTTCTTCTGAGCATTCCTCGACGTTTTTCTTTTATTTCCTCTCGTAAATGACGTAGTAAGGTGCAGTAGTAATCAGAGTTTATAGTCTGACCCCTTTCAAGATAATCAATCATAATCACACCTTTCGAGTCCCAGAATACTGAAGCCATCATTATTTGCCGACAAAATCGACTTAGCCTTTTTAGGGGGTGGTGAACCAGGTCTTCTCCACTGTTTTGATTGTTGTTTTGTTTCCGGTGTATAGTAATGAACCCATGTTTCGTCCATAGTAACAAAACGATTCAAAAAATCATCTGCATCGGCTTCAAATAACTCCAAACAGTCGCGTGAAATAGTCAATCGCGTCCTTTTTTGTTCAACTGAAAGCAGTCGCGGAACCCACCTCGCAGACACCTTGTGGAAACCCAACTCGTTGACAATGATGTTTTGAGTTCGTTCATAAGAGATGCCTATAATCTCGGCTATCTCTCTAATTTTTAATCTGCGGTCTCCCATTATTAAATCAAGTACTTTTTTTAATATTTTCGTCAGTAGTTGACGTCGAAAGCCTTCCAGAGCGGGGTTCATCTTTCACACTCTCTCTACCACGCTTAAATTCTGCTATCCATTTTTTGACCGATGAATATGACAGAGCAAAATCGCCTAATGTACTGGCCATGTCATCATGGATGGCTTTTGGTGATAGCCCCTTCTTATGGAGGTACTTAATGACGGCACGCTGCTCGATTTGCTCCATTCGCGGAAATTATGTCCGATTACTTTGTTAATAAATTTATAAAATCACAAATAATTATCGCACACGTTTCGAACTTCACACAATGAACTAGTCTGAACTGAACTAAATAATGTGGGTAAATTTGATTTTTAGAATTGAATGGATCTGTGTTAGGCCGAGTACTTTTCAATCCACCCTCGTAGTTGTGCCCGCCAGCAACGCAGTCAGGAAGTTTAATTTCGAAAAAATAGGGGCTTTTTAGGTGATAATTAGGTGCCAAGTTTAAAAATTAGGTGCACTAAAATTTTAACTGCAACAAACTGTTGAAATTTGCGTTGCTGGCAAAACGTATCGCTAGCAACGCAGTGACGATAATAATATCTATTATGATAAATATAATTACGATAAATATTAATAGCAAGGAAATAAATGCTAATTAAGTGCTGAACAATTATTGAGGTCGGATGTAGATGACGGTAATATTCTTGGAATTATCGGGCCCAGGACCACCATTAGCTTACTATAAGGTATGACCGGCATTTTTTGTTATATATCAGTTATATATTATATATAAAATAAGGTCAGGATAAGGTCGAATCTGTACTACAACCGAATCAGAATGCCCCAACTCCACTTAGTCTTGCCTGCCCTAACCCTAGAGCGTTTTTGTAAAGCCATAGGCGTGGAGGGAGAGTAGTCCCTGCTCGCTGTATCTAATCACAGGCATCCAAGCGAGCCATATCGGCTAAGCATACATAGGTCGTAAACGAGACAGTTACACCACAATCGGAAGCTATAAGATTTTTATATGACGCCGCATGTATTATTTTACACTACAGTCACATGGCAATAGTATTGTTACGAGCTTGAGGTTCGTGACAATAAAAATTACCGTTAGAAATACCTAAATTAACTCTTTAATTTTCTTTACACTAATTAAAACTTAAAACACTAAAAATTAATCACACTGATTCACTTTATTCCGCTTCGCTTGTCTCGCCAAATTCAATACTTCCCTGATCGCACCTTGCAGCGCCTATAAATACACATTAGTACCGAATCATCCAGAACATTCAAGTAAATACGCGCACCAATCGACAAAGCGCCGAAAGTTCGAGAGTCAGCTTCCAGAAGCTTAGTTCTTCGTTTCGACAACAGATGGCGCTGTCGGTTGATATATTAGTGATGTCATTTTCTGGAAAGCTCTCCTCTCGCTCCGTTACCCGACACTAGATGGCGCTAGTTCCAGATGTCAACTTAGACGCGTAACAATATCAGAGAATACACGCGTGAAATAGCATCTTTATGCTGCTATGTTTTGTATGGTGAATGTAAACAACCGGAGACCCTTTTTACTGGAAACGAGGCACTCCATCTCAGTCCTCAGTGGTAACAATGCATCTACATTTTATTTCTTAAGGCCGAATACGAGGCGATTGACCTTGCTCGTTTCGCAGCAAACCACGCGCCGTCTATCAAACATCACGTGTGTTACCCGGACGCTTTGATTATATAGACATGTATATAATCAAAGCTCGTACGACTCTGCTAGATCAGTATGCAGAGTAATGAATAACACAGAGAGCATTGCTTACTTATTAATTAAATCTTTCTTATTTATAATATTAGTTCCTTGTTCCTTGAGGACAAATGTAGATGTCTATGGGCCACAGCATACACTATTGATACAGAACACATTATATACTGTGAGGCATTACATGTTAGGCCTCAGAGGTGACAACGCATCGCTAAGTGGATGCTGTGGCCCATAGACATTAAAAATATATATAAAATTAATTTAATTTGAAAATATTCAAATCTAACTGGCATGAGTCACTATTAACCATATGCTAATATTCAAACATGGAATGTAACGAGACCGGAGTACTTGCTCGAAAAAGACGCTATTTTATGAAGGAAAATAGCGTTTTTTTTTTTAATAATTCGGATAAATATTTTTATATTAAAGCCTAAAACTACCTATGGTTTTAGTGACAACGGTGTTTACACTAACACCCTGTATATCTGTGGCGTTTCATTTATCTCGTCTTATTTGCTACTCATTATGTCTGACATATAATTTATGTATAACTTATTAAACTAATTATTTTGCATTAACTAAATTAAGATGTTCTTATTCAAAGTATTTAATATGTAAATTATGTCAACAGGGCGACTTCGGCACTTCTGCGAGCGCAGGCCGATACCACATTGTCTTCGCTTTCTTTGTAGCGTTAATGTTCGCGACCACGCTTGGTTCGCTCTTCGGTTACCATTGCTACCTCGTTGCACATAATAGGACTACTTTAGGTAAGTTATTTAAAATTCATATCCACTTTAATATAGGACATTACACAATAATAGATTTTGACCATGTAAGGAAAAGAGGAGATCTCCCGCCGGGTGACGTAATAGTACGGAGCGTGTTCTATACTGGCTGATTTTTTTTCGTAATGATTTCTTAAATTTACGCGAGCACTACACAATGAATAAAACTGTTACTTATCTATAAAAACCCGCGTGAAGTAACATATAGCTGACGTGAAGCACCGACGCTCCGGGAAGTCTGCAGTCTGCGAACATGTTCAAGAGCGTCCCCACCATTACATCAGATTTGATAAACCATAAATTCTCGCAAAAGTACACCGATTCCTACCAAGTATGATAGGCGAGGCTATTGAAATTAAAAAAACATCCAAATTTCAATAGAGAAGATGGGTGGGTGCTGCCATCTGCTTGGGAGATCCTATAGGTAATTAATAAAATTAAACCCAAACCCAAGCATACCACTGCAAGACTTCAAGATACTGTAAGCTCGTTTTGCGTAAATCGGAGCAAAAATTAATATTCAAAAACTGAAGCTAGCCGGACTAACTATGACATTGGGACGTCAAACATCTCAGTGCCCCCCGTGACCATGGGTGCTGTAAAGCACCCGAAACGTCGGGATAATAAAAATAAATTAAAGTTGTGATTTTTTTTGCTTTAACATTAACGTATTATGAAATTGAACTATCAATAAATAACACTAATTTGAAATAAACTTTCGGTAATAAAAAATTTAAACAAAATTTTTTAACTAAATAAATAAATCAATTAAAAACTATCGAAATAAAAATAATACGCACCCAATTAGTAGTATTTATTGATAGATCAATTTCATAAAACGTTCATGATAAAAAATGTTCCGTTTCGGAATTCTGATTCGGGAATCCGAACGCAGCAAGTCCATGTAAAATTTATGACCCGTCACACACCTACGGTTATTTTCCGTTCGAAATTTTGCAGGCAATACGGGATTCCGTTTGTGCGTGGTCGATCCGTTCGTTCCGAAACGGAATTATGTATGTAGTGTCTTGTGGGCCTTAGTGCCTTAGTGTCTAGTTTCTGTATGTCTTAATACTCGGACACATCGTTCAGTAGTTATCTTGAAATGACCACATTTTCATTGACGCCTTTTCGATTTTTAGAATATTTAACTTGGATTTTCATTTCAGATATCCTTATTTCCCGTCTCCAATACGGCAGTTCGACTAGAAAAATTATAAGCATTTTACTCAAAGCCATGATAAATGGTAAATGTGGTCATTTCACCATACACGCGTCACTAGTAGAAAAAAAATATTTAGGAAACTAGACTACAAATTGTTTATTATTTAGTATAATAATATTTTACGTTGTATTTAGAATAAAAGTAGAAATAATAAAAAAAAAAAAATGGTGTAACACTTTTGTTGTAATTTTTAAATGTTGTTAATATATTTTATAATTTTTATAAAATTGTAATGTAGTTGTTTGAAATGTATTGTAGATTTAAATAAGTAGTATTTTACTTAGTTGTTCTATGTTTTCCATAATAATAGCCTATAAAGATTTAATTGAAGTCGTTAAACAGTTTATTTTAAATCTTATTTTATAGAATAGGGTTAAAAATGGAGCATACAGTCCACCTGATGGTAAGTGTATGCTGTGACCCATAGACATCTACATTTATCCTGAATTAAAAATCAACACACAGATGCGTTGTCACCACTGAGGACTAAGATTGAATACCTGGTTTCCAGTAAAAAAGGGTCTACGGAAATCTACACTCACCATACGAAACACAGCAGTATTAATCTGTATTTTATGCTAGTATTCTGTGAGAGCGTGGTCCTTCCCCGGTCGAGCCGACCCATTCGTGCAACAACCATATTATAGCTGCAGTGTGACTCTACCACGTATGAAACTTACCTGATTGATGATGAAGACATAGTAAAGTCACTTCATTTCTACATCCCACTTCATTCCTGAGACGGTTTTAGGTCAAGGAAATGATCGCCGCGCTGCCTTCGATTTTTTTTTAATTTTCCAGACATGCAGATTTCCTTCACCGCCTACATAGTGGTTAAATTGCAATTAATGGTGCCGGCGGAGATTAAACCCGGGTTCCGTATTATTAGTGTACTGTAATATTTACAAAAAGCGCTTAGCTCTAAGCTACCACGGTTGAACGATAAAGATATATTTAGATGTTTTTTTTTTTATAGAATAAGCATGACAACGAGCAACAAGTGAGAGTGTTGTGCAAATATTATGTAATAGTTCTAAAATGGCGAGAAATTGTGAGTCCCTCCCCCCCCCCCCCCCCGTGACCATGGGTGCTGTAAAATGCTCTAAATCTAAACGTCGGTAATATACGCGATAAAATCCGTAAAAACTAGTTTTATTTATATTGCAATGATATTGATTATAGATTCGCTCTCCGTTTAAAGTACAACAAAAAGCGCTTATGTATATAATTGTTATGTCCGTTTATAGTGTGCGTGTTTTCTAATGCTTAGCACTCTAAGGAATTAACTTGTAAATTTCAGAGGCGTTTAGAGCCCCGATGTTCAGAGGAGGCGCCGATAAGAATGGTTTCTCCATTGGTGCTTTTAATAATTTTAAAGAGGTATTCGGGAATAGCCCAAATCTCTGGATGGTGCCGGTCTTCACGAGGTAACTTATATTTTTAGAACATTTTTTAATTTATATTGGTGTGTAGTTTTTTTTATTATTATTAGGATATAAAAATCAAACACAGGTCTACTTCCACTAGCCCCTTATATTCTTTTTACTTCTTACGGCATTTACAGTTTTCTCTTTTGCCTAAAATGTGTTAAAAATGTCAGGAATATGAAAAAATTGTATATTATTATATTGCAAAGGACTCCCTTTGCAATATAATAATATACAATTTTTTCTTATCGAATATAAGCCAAAGCTAAGAACTCTATAATTCTTAGCTTTTAGTTTGCTTATATAACTGGATTCAATTGTAAGGAAGCTTAGCAGATTATTTTAATCGCAATGATCAGTTACCTTTTAGAGAATAACATACGTAACATATTACATATGGCGACTCGTCTGGTATTACATTCTTGGCATCATTAACAGAATAAAAAGATAACACTACTCGGCATGGTATATACCTTCTAAAACATATTAATATAATATAATTAACTCATTTATACAGTTTCTATGGATGTCTTTATAAAACAATCATTCTGTTCTGCATAGTATGGTAAACAATACGTGCATGTGTGTTATTACATTTCTGTAACAGGCTTACGTGTGAACGTTTGTCGTTAGATACTATTCAAATTAGTGCAACGTTTGCCGGTTGACATGTGCATGCCAGCTAACGTCATGAAAAAGAAGTGAATGACATAACCTAACCTAATATCTATGGTGTGCAATACGAAATTTTAACTTTTTGTAATTTTATATAGAAATTTAGCATAGAACTAACCGAAATAGAATGTTTAGTTGTTATACATTCTAGATTTAAAACTCACTCAGTGTCATTTTAACTTTTTTTTTTAAATTGATACTTATTGAATAAGGCAACACTCAAAAGTATTATCTTATTATGGATTTTATTATTTCTGACAAGAATTCCCTTCTTTTATTAGTACAGTTTAAATATTAATTACTATGTGAAGAGCGTTTTGTTTATTTGACAGTTTCGATGTAACTCACTAAAATTTAGCATGACTAAATATTACAGAGTCGTATTAATCTAACAAAGTAGTAACAATTTAACAAATAACACTTAGTTGAAAGCATGAAACAGGTGACGAAAATTTATACAATACATTCCAAAAACGATTAAAATTATATTTCTTTCTGCTTGACCATGTAAAACTTATTCTATTGTTACATATATTATCGCACAAGTATGTACCTAACCGATAATTTTGTTTTGTACCTAACACACAACCCTGATAAATTAAACGTTGAAAGAAAAACACTAATTGGCAAATAACTACAAACATATCCGAACGAATAACTTTTGCCGCCATTTTGGCGCGGCTTTTGAAAACGGTGATCGTTTTGTCAGCCTCGGGGACGGATGCGAATACCCGGTGCGACGCGAGCACCAGCTGCAGACGTTCACGACGCAGGACGCCCATGGCTACGAATCCATGGGCACTACGCGCTCCAGGTCAGAACATAAACAAAACCAACATCCACTAGTCGACACGCACATACCTTGAGGATAGTCTTAAACCGACCTGGCTATTAGACTTGATATGATAGAATTTTCTTGTATAAAACATGAAATGTAAATGTATTTATTTCGTTGAAATATGTATTTTACAATTTTCTTTTCTCTACTTATTTCATATCTAGATATAACTTAACTCAGTTCTGAGTTTCCTTCAATATTATGTCACAATAATAATAATATATTTACATAATGAAGAAATAATCAAACATAAATTGATTGCAGCCACATTTATATTTCAGTAGTAAAGTGGAACTTGGTCAGGTTAAACATCAACATTCCTGTTTAAATGCGTGTAGAAAAGCACTTCCAAATAGAACAATTACGATGCAAATGCTATATAGAACAATTATTATTATAGAATAATTATTATATTAGTATCTTCTACTTTCGTAGCAAGTTTAGTAAATTAGAAAAGTCGGGTTTAACTCTTTAGTCATCTCGAATTCAAGTTGAACATGAATTTATCATTATACAGTTTTTCATTATTTTATTGTAATGATTATTTGTGGATATAAATCGTTAGTAATTGTCAGTTATAAAAACACAGTGTTTTAACTGTTTCTTCTTTTTTAAACCAGAAAATAAATAGTTTATAACACGTAACAATTGAATCCTGTATATGGTGCGTTACTTAGTAATATAAATAATTTCCGCCAAATATTCGAATATATTTGCCAGTTTTCCAATATATATCTTGAATTTGATGAGCTTTAAATGCAATATATATAAATCTAATTATAATAATTAAATCAGTTCTCCCTAATCAAGCAAATACCTCAAGTTGTGTGAGTGCCTGGCTTATAAATCTGTTTATACAATTTAATATGAAAATATATTTTATGATACAATTTATTAATATAAATGAAGTTTGCTTTTGTATGCATTTGTTATTTTTGAGCTATATACTACACACAAGACTGATAAAGCTAGAGAATTGTTTGTAATTTGTAAGTATGATTTTGTGCGCAATAAAATGTTTTGTTTCATTTTTGTTTTTATTTTTTTACACCCGCAGTGATGCTTTAATCACCTGAAAACACAGCGCTTCAGTTTGTATCAAAAGCGCGAACAGCTTATTATAGCTTTGACTTTTAGAAATCTGTAGAACTTTTTAGAAACTGCTGTATTAGCAGGCAAATGGATACATAATTTTAAAACTAAATTGTCACCTTATTTTTCCCGTTTAGAGTTTGTGGGGTGTATAAAATTCGTTCGCTTATATGAATTACAGAAAATATAAAAACTAATTTTTATTATCTTAGTTTTTTTTTCATATTTGTGTCTAGAATACCATAAGCATTATTGGCACTTATTCTCTCAAGCAGTTTTTTTAAGCAAGTAATAGTTTTTCGAAACTAGTGAAATTTTCGGCGAAGGGTTTTTCTTTAAAAAAGAAGCAATTTTGACAACTGCAACTGAATTCAATTTGGAGAAATACTTAGATGTTATTTATTTATTTTATAATTTATGTCTATCAATTATGATATTATATGCTTATATTATATATGGTTTTGGTTTCTTGTTGTTACCCTACTTTATTTAGTTTTTTGGGCTAGACAAAACAAAGCTTTATCGTATTCGTGCCAACCGAGACGTCTTTTTCCAACCTTTATACTTTCTCACTATCTCTTCCTATATCTCTCTTTCTCTCAGTCTTTCTCTTGTTTATACTTATGATTACGAGAGTGCCTCTGTTATAATTATAATATAAACTACAACTTTACTAGTAGTTGAATATTATTTAGACTGCAATTTAATATAATTGTAAACTAATATTCATATAATCCGCGAATCATAAATATATCTGTTTGTTATGAGAATCGTAAATTTATTTTCGACAGATGCGCTCTCGAGATCATTTTGTTACTCTTATATATGTATATTATGATGTAGGAATTGATATACATTTCAAAATTTATATTTTGACCAAGTTAGATCGATTCAGAATAAGGTTTTGTTACAATTTTAGCGTGGAGGTGGATCACGAGACTGAGAGGTGGAGACTTTGTCCCAGAAGGGCACGGACCGCCCCGCAAATAGTATAAGAAAGGAACAGTATCATATTATTGATCAATTTAATAATATTTTTACTAAAATACATAATAAATCTATTCGGACTAATTCATGCTTTTCATTCATAGACGCCAAAATTACCATGTCTGGTTTCGAATCAAAAATAACGTCATTCACTTCTTTTTTATCTTGGTTTATTTATCGGATGTTTTTACTGATAATTAGTGTCCTTTTGCATGCTAATTTTAATTAGAATTATGCGTATGGTTCTGCTAATAGATTGATTAGAATAGCAGAGCTAAGTAAAATTATTGTTAAATATGCCGTAGAAATTAACACTACACATTGTTCGTATTCAACCAATTATTTAAAACTAGACAAGCTTTTTTAAAACACATAAGTGAAATACATAATATCATAGCAGTAGTTAGAACGTAGAGTATTTGTTGGAAAAATTGGATTTGGTATAATATTACTAAATAACCATAGACTGTCTATTATTTTCGGTGTAATTATAAAATTTGATTTATTGATAGTCTCGGTTTTAAAGAAAACTTTGTCACGAAATAAGTTCCTTAGCTATCTAGATTCTATCTAGAATCTAAGTTAAAATTGATATTTGTTTCCATATTATATTTTTTCTTCGGAATTTATACTCCAGTTTAAATTGAGTCTAATTTTAAACTGTTTTTATATTAAGACTGTTTAGGTTAAAATTGTTATAAATGCATAACAAATATATACATTTGTATTGCAGTGTAGTGGCGGTGTAAGATAAATTTACTGCCCCATCTAATAAAAAATCGCGCTTGCCAACCAGCCTGCCAAGCGTGGCTACTGGCAAATTCCATCATCATACATGCCCATATGTGAGAGGTCCATGTCCAACAGCTGTCTTTAGATAGGCTGTAATGGATGGATAAGTTAATTAAAATATTAAAATATAAATTACAAGCAAGTAAAATTACTTATTTTAGAACTAATTAAATATTCAATATTATGTGAAAAGAAATTTTTTTGTGTTTAAATTAATAAAGGGGGAATGTTTTATATATTGGTTTTCTTCCACACGGGAAGCACCAGCTTTCGAATAAAAAACGAATTATCAAAATCAGTTACCTAGAAAAAAATATATACAGTCGAATTGAGTACCTCCTCCTATTTGAAGTTGGTTAAAAAATAAAAATGGCCCAAGTTTATGCTTCGCACAACTGGTGTTCCGTAAATAAAAACTAATACGGCGATGGATATTATTTGTGAAACAAAATATTATATGATAAGAATAATACACCTTTTAAGTAAATTTGACGTTTTATACGTCATCAAACAAAAAACGACGAATTGGAATTTTGAAGTGGCACGTAATATGATATTAAACAGAAGTATAAATTAAAAATGTTGAAGTACATTAAAATAACAGTTTTATTAGTTTTAAGGCTCTTTCATCACACTTGATGACGTTAAAGGTTTTCCTATTTCGTATTCACTGTACTTTATATTTATTTAGATAGCAGAAAGAAAAAAAATATTATAAAAACAAAAATGTTTTGTGTAAATAAAAATATTTTACATTCATATTTTACTTTTTCTATTCTATGTGATGATTAATTTGTAAATTAAACTGTCGCGAAGACTTAGAAAGACACTTATCTGAATAAAAACATTTAGTTAGTCGGTCAATCAGACAAACAAATAAACGGATCCACAAACGAACCAAGAAACGAATGGGGCAAACTGTACGCTTGTGTTTTATTTTGTAAATAAACAACAAAATGACCGCAATAACGTAATCCCTAATTTGCTCCCGAATTTCTTTAGCCAATACTTGGTTTCCATACAACAAATAAGATATTGCCCTAAATAAGCAAGCACCGTCACTAACTTACTGATATTGATATTGAATAAAAAATTTGAAATCAATCAATCAATGCCTATCTAAAACTAAGTATCTACACTAACAAAATAAATAAAATTGCGTAAGTATCTATACTTTGTCTCATCCTGCAAACAAATGAAAAATAAAACTAAACTCAACCTAGGAAAGTTTTTTTACCTCTAAGTAATAGGTGTCAGTAAGTTAGATTTTCTATCAAGAAATTCTCAGTAACAGTAGTAGTACTATTTATTCTGTGGTAGCAGCCCGGAGTCAAGAGTTTAGCAGTGTTTCATCCCTATGTCTCAGAAAGCACGTAAAGCCGTTTTAACTGTATCTGATCTCACTATATTTTTGTCGGATTACCAACTCGGACACAATGATGAATAGACAATTTTTTATATTTTGTGTATGATGATTAATAGGGGCAGATTTTTGTAAAGCTCTTATAATAAGTATTATTCATAATTATCATAATTTTGTTTTGCGGATTGTCCCACCTTCATGCGATTAAAAACCAGTTTTTCCGCGCAATCCATGTGATGGATCCATGAGATATTAGGAAAATAAAATAAAAACTAATTGCATTATTTTAATCCTGAAGTATTCGTACTAATTTTTTAAAGTTACAATAATCACTTAATAATTTTTCCCTATATACCAATATGAAACACCCCATAAAGAAACATTCTTAAAATCTTATTTTACTATCTAAGGATTTTATTTTTATTTTAATTTTTCAAGACTTCTTTCTAAGTTAATGTCTACTTAATAAAAGGAAGTTATTGTTCCAATGTCATGCATCTACATCCAGCGGTTTGAGCTGTAGATTTAATACAATATTTTTCATACAAAATTTGAACCCTTCGTTTTAAAACCGGGAGAGGCAAATTTTATTATTTAATTAGTTTAAAGCATTAAATATTTTTCCCGGTAAGAGGTTGTTTTAAGAAATACCAAAATATTTTATTTCCACACATTGCATACCCTCTGCCCCATACCCTTCTATCTATGACTCAGTATATAGTACTCAGTGAACAGTGGCATCTGTCGGTAAATAGCAAAACTAACTTTACGGCAAATTAAATTTTATTCTGTTTGTTTTAACTATGTCCAATATAACTTAAATGTTATAAATGCTATTTGCAAACGGAAAAAAATCTTCTGAAAGAATTTTGTCTAATTTTAAGTAACTATTATCTTAGCAAATAAAAACATAAATTAATAATTGCACTTTATTACTAATTCCAAATTTTAAAAAACAAATGCGTCAGGACGGCACTATGGTCTCTTCCCCGCTCCAAGAAGTATGAAAATGCCTACAATGATATCCTTTTTTATATATACATTTTAATGAATGCATGAACTCAGCCGTGGGCCGTATTAGCTGTATATTATTATATATAATCCGCTTCTTCGGTTCCGTAATCGGGTAAAGCGTAAGTGATAGATCGTGGAAACTATGCCAAATATGAGACAATTAATGGGGGGGGCCTATGTTCAGCAGTGGACTTTAAAATGCGGTTATTGGATAAAAGGAAGAAACTTATATTTGCTGGTCCAATACAGACATTGCGTTGAAAGCAGAAAGCAAAGTAATTATTTACATATTATGTGTCCTTCATACCTCGTTTATAATTAAACCATATAGTACTTGAAAATACTTGTAGCTCCATCTATATAAAACTATAGTAGTTAATTCATTATTACAGTAAAATAAAAATTGTATGATATTTAGAAAAGAACGCGTAGGAATAATATAAAAAAAAAAAAAAAACTAAAAATCGGCTAAAGTAATTTTTCAATTTCACGACAATGTAAATTTTAAAATTTGGAAATGCAAAAGGGAGGTATAATATGCTTACTGCCAAGCTTCTATAAGATTGATATAATCCTTGCCGAAACCAAAAAAATTGTTAATAGCTCTTTCAAAATTTGATTTATCATCTTGTAGGTACTAGGTGGTTAAAGGGATAGAATAAGTCAGCTCAAATTCTAATTTCGTCCCCACTTGCCCGCGCGTCGTATGCTATGTACCGACATGTTTGTAATCACTAATAACTGTAAGTAGAAAGGTCGTTAGACACTTATTTCATTAGGTTTATCATATTTATGCCTGTTTCTTAACGCCAAGCCAGCCGCTTCTTACTTTTATTACGGTTATTTCCCATTTTAATTTTACGTCGTCCTGTTGGGTAATGTATATTCTGATCGTAAGCGACACAACCTCCCCGTTCAAAGGCTGAAGCGAAGTGACCGTGCGGCAGGAATCACGCTTCAAAAGGCCGAAGTTTAGGTAATTTCTTTTTACAGTGAAAATAATGGTATTTTAAAAAAAGTTGTTGTAGTATGCAGTTTCAGTAGAGTATTTTATGAATAACAGCGGTTTATTGTTTATTTTGGAGGTAACTTTGGATTTTTTTTTTCTATCGAGAAAATTTTACGAAATCGTGTTTTCGTCTAACATAATCCTTAACATTAATCCTGAACTTTACCATATATTTATTTCAAAATTAATGCTGCAATATTTTCGGCATAACGAAGGATCTTGCTAAGCCATTTGAGATTATATTTCCCCTTAAGAAAAAAATTATAAGCACACCTTAAAATGTAATAATTTGCACAACACCATCCATCGATGACATTGGTTAACTATTGTACTTTTTTAATTAAGTTATTAGGATTTATATATTTTTTTATAAATATTTATTACGTTATTCTTTATTATTTTTGTTTACTGCGTTTAGATACAATTATATTATTTGAACATTATTTTACGTTATTTAATTACAAAAATGTCCTTGATCACTCAACGCCACCAATGAACAAATTCGTACCCATACTTCAGAATATTAATCATAACCTTTGATAGGATGAACCAATTTTAATAAAACAAAGACTAGATATAAAACGAAAATATGCTTCACAATTTTTCTAACGATTATTTTGATATAAAGCAGTACTTTATACATGATACGTTAACAAGCAAACAGACTGACAGACAATTCTAAAAATGGTAGAAATATATTCAGTTACTTATTTGTAGTCCCTCTCAATAAATTTTGTTACAAAAATATAAAATGTGCAAACATCTGCAATCATTTATATATAAAGATTTATGAATGGTGTTAATGAATTATACGGTCTCGTTCGTAAAAAGTTAATAATACGTAAGATTTTTGAAACGGTATTTATATAAGATTGCTAACTATCCCAGATTCTGTGGAAAATCCTTTAAAATTATACCAATAACGTTTTTATTGTTCTTCACTTACTTCATTGTAAAATTTAAGTCGTAAGTACTTCTGTAACATTTTGAATATTAACACACGATTAATAAAAATGCCATACTACGTACATATACTGCCAATAAATGTTAGTTAATACGATACCTTACTGATGAACTGGGAACACTACCCAGTTATATACATAATTTAGGGAGTTTATTGAATAAGATTGTTTACGTGTTAAATCTATATATTTTTTACAGAAAACATTTCCAGGCATTAAATACTTCTATACATATATATATTTGTGACTCTAGACTTTAGGCTTAGACTTAGGCACTTGTAAATTATTTTACTTTTGCACCTAGTAAACGCTATAGCAATGCACGTTCACGCAGTCACCGTGTTAACCTTGTAGGCTACAATCTTATGAAATATTTTAATACCATGACACCAATGTAGCTATGGCGACGGCATCGTATATCCCATGCCAACACCAGAAGAAGACAGGGAGTCGCTGCTTAGTTCAGAGAGGTGGGACCGCTGGGGTGAACGTGCTCGTCCTTTCGACGAACGTGAAAGTTCCTCCTACGACGAACTTTGAGTGTGAATGTGTCCAGTAAGCGGCTATTAACCGGATGAAGACAGGTTACGAATTTAGATGAGCGTAATATGTGTGTGAAATTGGCGTTTATGCATTTATGTAGCTTGTAGCTTTTATATGCCTGTTAAGTTAATTTGTCGTCATAATGTCTTAATAAAATTATAGGCTATTGTCTATAGAGATACATAATTATTAAATCAATGGTTTACATTAATGTAAAACATTTCATTCAATTTGTTTATATTTATTCATATTCATTTAGGCAGTCTTGAAATAGCCATCAATGGTGATATATTAGATAGTAATATATAGGATTAAATTAATATTGATACTATAATATGATGGAAATGGAATTTGAATGCAGTTCAGTCATTGTTGCGAAGTTTTAACGATCTCCATTATTTTTAATAGAGAATGTGAACTGAGAATATCTTACGCATAGCGTTTTATGTTATAGTAATAAGATTGTTTTGTAGTTGCAAACATTTCTTTGAGTAGAATTTTAAATTAAATATTTTTATCAAACAATTATGTTTAAAATCTCAAAATAGTTTAAATTACCATTTACGTGCAATGCGCACGTACGTCCTCTTAAACGTCTACGTGTGCCGTGTAGGTGTTCTGAAATAATTAAACTTTAAAAAAAATAACCGTGTTCAAAATATAAAAAAAATACATATATACAGGGTTATTTTGCAATAACCGACTTAATTTGCAGAGAAAGTTCAGAATAAGTAATATAGGCAAATGGTGAAGAAAACTTAATTTAAAAAAAACTTAAACATTCTGTCCTTTTTATCTTTAAACTTTATTTTTATTTTTAAAATGCGTGGTAATGCATTATTTCAACCGATTTTACTGCGCACGCACACATTCGTAAGGGTCGATCGGTAGGTAAAAACGTTGTTGCCCATAAATCGCATTCAATTTGGGATAATTTCAAATATAAGTAGAGGCCATATTTACTCGTATTTTCAAAAACTGCAACAACGGTATATCATTGTTTATATATTTGAACTTCAGTTTAAAATTTGGCTACCCTTTGAAAAAATATCTCTGTATGACACCGAAATCGGTTTACGCGGCGAACAATTATTCGCCTGTATGTCTTGTATGGATGCATTCGCAAATTGACGAGTTATGTGATGTGATCCATTAGAAAATCATCAAACCGATGAATTGAGAACTCCCTATTTGAAGTCGGTTAAAGTCTCAGTTTCGTTTAGTAAAATTTCGATTGGTATATTTCATTAGGTGCCGATTTATTATAAATTAGGTTGCATTTGGTCATGTTTGTGACTTTTTATTATATAAGCATCACACCTTAAATTACATATTAAGCAGAATATGATGGACTACTTTTATTAAATTCATCAAGGATAATTCAAGAAACGTTAAATTATAGTAATTACTTATTTAGCAGACTGATACAAGTATACAAATAATAAAAAGGGCTTTCTAGCACATTGTATAAATGTAAATAAAAAGTGCTTTGTAAAAATATTTTAGGAATACTGCAACAAAACACATTGTGTGATTTTAAATTATTCAATTGGATGTCAATCAATAAATAGCTTTCATTTAAACTTTTAAAAATTAGAACATATATATAAAATATATATAAATTTAATATATAAAATATATATAAAAAAGAGAAGATACGAAACCAAGCTTGGACCACTAAAACTACGTCTGACGCATTATTCCGATTTTCACGTACAAGCGTACGTTGTTCTCGGAAAAATGCTTAGAAAATTTCATGCTATTTATTTTACATTAGTACCAGCATTCAGGCAAAATAAAAAGTCGCTCGGAGTCACTTGGCATGTGTTTTAAATATATATTTTTAATGGTTTTATAGTAAGATTCATAACTTTCATAGTTTTTGATTCTATATTTGTGGGGGTACCGTATCTTCTCCTATTTGTTCATATTAATGTATAGATGTGGTAGGTACGTATTTTGTCCATTTTACGTGCATATGTAAGGCGTATGTTTTTTATTTTGAAAAGTCATTATAAATTAAAATATTTTTTTTTAATTTAAATTCTACCAGTGGTTTCAGGTAAATAAAATTGATGTGGCATCTCTTAAGTAACATATTATAGTTGGATATTTATCTAATGTATAATTGACGTATAACACCAAATTAAGATATTTCATAAAAATATCAATATGCGAATAAGATAAAGAACTATTCATTATAAACTTAAAACATGCTATAAATATTTTTGTGACAGAATCACAAGACACATATCTTTATTTTCTTTTCTTTATATAAATTGTATGCGATATATTTTTTTTTTACTATTTGTATAAGTATTTTAACACTATTTTATGCTATAAATAAAGTGGATTAGTGTAAAGGTAAATACCTTAAATAGATTATTGGTATGTGGTGAGTGGGCGAATTTGTTTTTTTTTTTTAATTATAAATGTCAACCTAGTCAATTTAGTTAGAAACTGTTGTTTTGATGCGGACGAGGGCTATGAATATGATTCTAAATTAATTCACGATTTTTTTCTATGTACCGTAAAGGCGGGTTACTTTAGCTGTTTTTTTTTCTTCAGTTATTTTACGAATTTGATCTGTGGTTTGTATTGGTATTGTCCTTTTAGTGTTCTTATATGTTATAAAGAAGCTCGAGGATGTACTCAACAAGATGCGAAGTGTATTTTAGAAATGTGATAACAGTAACTTGTTTTTTTAATTAAAGTTTTTTTTTAAGTTTGGGCCAAGGTTGTTCTTAGGAAAGGGTTAATTTAACCCCATGAACTTTATCGCTGAAAAATCGCACTTGCAGCTATTATTGGCCAAAGAAACCATCAAGGGCGGAATGATTGAATATCCAAGAGAGATTTAATGTAAGAAAAAAGTTCGAAATAAATTAAAACACGATGTAAAATCAATATTATATATTTCAAAAAGATTTACAGTAAGTAAATTTCTCAACAATATCTCAACTCAGTAGCAAACTTACATAAATACAACAATAATATTATCTTAGGTTAATTAGATAACATTTGCAAACATATATTTTACTTCTCAGTCTAATTAATAGAGATGGGCCGAATATGGTACGAATACGAATATTCGGCCGAACATTTGGTAAAACTTATACCGAACCGAATATTCAGCCGAACATTATTCGGCAGGATCACCTCGGTAACTAACCAATTTATGTCGAAACTTGTTACGATAAAGTGCGCAGGATTTTCGCCAAGCCCTTCCTCTCGCTCCTCCGCAATATGACATGTTATTGCATCATCTAGTACTGAACAATTCGCCGGCACATGCTTATGTTTTGACTATTTTTGTCAAAAAAAGTATTTCGTTGTGTACTATGTGAAATGATAATGAAGAGGCAGGAGATCTATTATTTGGACTTATTTTAGAAAAACTAACGATCAAAGTAAAGTGAAATGCACTAATATAATGTTTTTTGTATGACTCCAAAAATATATCAAGCTTTTTATTTGCTATATTGGGAAATAAATATACAGTGCCTCAAAAACATAACGCTATATAAATAGATTTTACCCATAAATACTATACTATAGTTCCATAATACTTTCAACAGTAAAATTGTTAAATACATGGCATTACTCAATTCGTACATTTCAATACAGTGGACACTTTGAGTACCACTTTAACGAATATTCGGTGATTTAACCGAATATTCGGGATTGAATCTAAAGCTGCCGAATATCCGATCCGAATATAAAACGAATATTCGGCCCATCTCTACTTATTAAATTATAATTTCAGTCTTATTGTTTTTTTTTTTTTTTTTATTAAAATTTTTTTTTTGAAGAAACCACCTTTTTTCTTTTTTGTAGATCCATTCTTACACACTATGTGGTCCCAACCAATAAAGTTGTTCATCTTTTATCGTGGGCCACCGCCAGTACGTCTTACCTTTTTTCATGCACGTTATAAAGGCTCCTACCTCGGAAACTGCTAAGACTTGACCTGGGTATTTGCGTGAGTTCCATGTTAAGTGAACCTCGAAAACCTGGTGGCTCTAACGTATCCTGCGGTAACTTTTCGATTTGACGTGCGGGCGAGACCCGCAAGTTTTTGTCTCGACAATCTTCTACAACTACCTGCATTTCCTCTCTTTCAGTACATTTTTCTTCAATGATCTGTATATCCTCAATGGATTGAAAGGGGAGTGAAGTCTTTAAAAGCATTTGCTCTTTGCAAAAGCTGTTGCTCTACATCTGTTACTTGAAGAACAGGAGAGCCACACTTCCTCTTCTACTTTACTCTCCTGCTGAAGATCAGGCGAATGTCGAAATGCAGGTGCATCAGTATCACTAATCTGACACATAGTTGGCCAGAAGAACATCATCCTCAGAGTCATGAGGCATTATGTGGTCTTCAGTGGAAGAAGCTAGACTGATGGTCCTGTCACTGCAGCTTGAAGATGAAGAGACGTTATGTTGTCCTCGTTTTGTTGCCCTTTTCTTTTCCTTTATAGTTTTAGCGTGCTGTAAACCTGATAGACCTGCTTCTGCAAGGTCAGTGGCACAGATTGATTTTCCAGGTGGTACATTAAGTTTCTTTTTCCTAATTGTTTTCTGTTCTGGGCACGCCTCAGCTCGGTACTGCACCAATTTATGCATAAAAGAGTTCCCTATAAGACCTGCGTTTATTATACGATCTTGTTTGGGTAATCTAGCTAAAGGCTCCCCTTTGTCAATGGAGTATATGCCTGTCTTTCTGAAACCAGCAATCAAATTCGCCTTGGTCTCGGTCAAAGAATCCAAAGCCGTTTTTAATAGTCGTGGAAACTGATCCTTAGCTGTAGCGACAGTTTCCTACCCAGATGACTGTTCTTCCATTGAAGCAATACTTTGTTTCCGGATATTTTGTTCCTCTTCTGCACAATATGTCTTTTTTCCTGGGTCATCACAAAGGTTGCTTTCATCGTAGTTGAATATGTTTTCGGGTGGAACGCTTTCTAGTTCTTTGTCGTAGTTTTCTATAAAATTAGAAATGACATCTTCCGACACTTGAGCTCGGCGGACTCTTTTGATATTGTTAGCAAGTGGCCGTGAAAGAGATTGATTTCGTGAAAGAAAAGAAGCCAACCAGTCTTTACCAGGAATGTTGTTTTTAAAATTTTTTACAACTCTTCCCTGGGATTCAAGGTAATTTTTGATTATCATTTTTAGGTCGAATGCTGTCAGCGGAAACTCATATTCCGAAAGTGCAGTTATGTGAGCTTCAAACGCCTTTTCTTCCTCTTCAGTAAAAATTGTAGGTTTATCTGGTTTGTCAAGATGCTTCCGGGTTAATTTGTTTTTCAAAGTGCTGCGAGGAATGTTAAATAACTCTGCAGCCGCTCTTTGTGTGAGCACTTTGGATTGGATTGCATCCAGACATTTTTTTACTTTCGTCTGTACACGGATGGTATCAGGAATGTCGCTCTGTGTTTTAATTCTGTAACAAATTGATCAAAAATGTAAAGTTCTCCACTAATAAACTTTGCAGGGTTACTTTAGCCGCCCAGGCCCAAAGTTACCCGAAAAGGTGGTCAATGTATACCTACCGATTTTCTAGATCTGCCATTAAATCCCAACACATAAGTAAATCGTCTTTAAAAAACAATTGCCACACTCTTACATACATGCCTAAGAAAATAAATAACAATCCAATTTGAAAACTTACCAAAATACAGCTTCAGACACCAAAGTTTGCAGACGCCGGTTTTACTGTCAAAAGTTTAAACGGCGCGAACATGTAGCGACGTGCACCCGAGTCGGTAAAACAGTTCCGCAAGTACGCGTCTATATCGCCATCTATTAGTTACTAAAGGAACTACGACGTTCGACTGTGTGGTTGTGACACAGGGGTCAAAGTAACCCGCCTCTACGGTATACAAACAGTAGTGTAAGTAAGAACAACTTTTAGAAAAAATAGGTGAATTCAGTCGACCTGGGCAGTAATATGCTTCGAGTCTCGTCACCGATACTGCAAAGCCTGAAGACGAGTCTTCACGAGACAGCACTTCGCAACATCTCCACGCGTAATTTAGGCGCTGATAACAGTTGACAACTGACTAATATTATGTATTTCTAAATAGTGCATAATTTTATTTTGCATAATCGTAGCCTAAATGAATAATATTAAATGTGTTTAAATTTAGACATCGGTAAATTGTTTTGCTAGATTGGCTTATTCAAAAATATAGGCCTTCCTCAGATTTCTCCATAATTCTAATTTTTTGCCAAGGCAGCCATGAAAGTTTTTCCATAATTTAAGATCCCAATCTTTTATTCTCCGTGTTATCTTTTTATTTTCAGAATGGTCTTCCCCATTTTCTCTCCTAAAGGATAGTATCCACACCATTTCTCTTTTTTCTTACATAACATAATGTGCCGTTTGTTTTGAATTATTAGGTTAAGTTACAAATACACTATATTCAGAGCTCGCGTTCGCAATAAATAGAGTTCTAAATATTATGAGCAATTTATGTTATAATTCCATAAAGCATTTACTAGTTAATTGTATTTTAATTGCAAACAACAAACTATTTTTATTTTATGCTACATTTTAAAGGATTCATTTTAAATGAAATTATTGGAAGTGTGTGATATTCCTAATGTTCACTATTTTTGTTTGTATTTTCGTACATTGATTAAGATTTTTTTAATGTCTAGTTGTAGATTATTTCAGATGTGGATTTTAGAAGCAAGTTTATATGTTGATAAATTGTTTTGTAATTTAGGTACAATGAAATGAAATGAGAATTAAATGATGAACGAAAATTTTGTTTAATTAATTAAAAACACATATCTTAAAAATATATATTTAAATTGGTGGGCTTATTAAATGGCAATTAAATTGATCAATAAAATCACAGATAGGATTACTTTATGGCCATTATTTTTATCACTATCTAAATAAATCAACTTCGAACGCGCTTTCTTACTAAAATTATTAATAAGGACATGATGTCATATAACAACAACGTTATACGGAAGTAACATCTATTGCTACTTTATTCCACATCAAGACATACAAAATGTGGTTTATAGTTAAGCACTCGTATTTGTAAAGTGATAGACACTGATATTTGCTCTAAGATCGAATTATTAAGCTATAATTAGAAGTACACTTCTATCATAATATCAACTAATCTATAAAGTAAAAATATTACCAGCTACACATGAATGATATCAACAATACAAAATGAAAATTTAAAATGCAATATATATCAAAAAGGGCAATTTAATACAACCAAAATCAAGCAAAAACTAGAAAACTTGTAGCTTGTACAACCAGGTTGTATATATTTCGACAAATCACAAAAAAAAGAATTAATTCTTATATCACTAAATAACATGAACAGGAATTCTTTGTGAACATTAGGGTTTTAAAACAAATGAGGTTTAAGATGAAAATATTCATTTTCAAGATTTATGTATATAGTTAAGAAAAAACTATTTATCTCAATGGTATCAAATGTACACATCATAAACAGAGCGCGTAATTGGATATTCAAATACTTAGAGTGGATAGTAAATGTCTTAAATCGTGGGTGTTACCCTCCATTTTAATTATACTTCTGAATGCTCTAACACATGTGGCTTCTTTCTCCAAGTTCCTGGATATAAGTTGAGCTCTCTTGGTGATCTCTCGGGGTATTCCTGCTAGGCGAGCAGCGTTAAAGCCGTAGGACTTTGGACAAGCTCCAGGAGTTAACTTGTACAGGAAGGTAATCGTTTCTTCAGGTATATCATCTTCGCAGTCCACTGTTGATTCGTCCGTTTCAACCATACACGCCTGCAAATGTTTTATAAAATATTCTTTAATGAAAAATTAAATTCTTTAATATTACCTACTTTCTTTTAATATAAAAAGAGATATTGCACATGAATTATCATGGGTGCAATATCTCATAATTTAAATTTAATAATAATTTCAATAAGAATTGAACTTACAATCCTGTATTAAATAATAAATGATTCTACTGTATACCACAGAGAAATGGATAAGTCCTAATTTTTGGGGTGAATTAACATTTTATTACACCAAGGTCCTCTGCAGCAGCTCCGGACTTGCGCTCATGACAGCGCATTAAATCGTCAGGCGCCAATAATAGTTTCGCTTTCTTGATTTTTTTTATACGAGGGTGGATTGAAAAGTACTCGGCCTAACCAAGAAAATAAACACATACTAAATCAGTTATATTTTTATTTTTCTACATAATCACCATCAAGTTCAATACACTTTTGCCACCTCCCCTTCCAAGCATTTAGACCGTTGAAAAAAAATGATTCTTCCTTAGAGTCAAAATATGCGTCTACAGCTGCTTTGACCTCGTCGTTTGTCGAAAATCTTTGACCTCCCAAGTGCTTTTTTAGGTTAGGGAACAGAAAGAAGTCTGATGGTGCCAGATCAGGTGAATACGGCGGATGCGGTAACAGTTCAAAGCCACAGTTGTGAATTTCAGCCATTGACTGTACTGACGTGTGAACACGGGCGTTATCTTGATGAAACAGGACTTTTCTTCTGAGCATTCCTCGACGTTTTTCTTTTATTTCCTCTCGTAAACGACGTAGTAAGGTGCAGTAGTAATCAGAGTTTATAGTCTGACCCCTTTCAAGATAATCACACCTTTCGAGTCCCACAATACTGAAGCCATCACCTTATTTGCCGACAAAATCGACTTAGCCTTTTTAGGGGGTGGTGAACCAGGTCTTCTCCACTGTTTTGATTGTTGTTTTGTTTCCGGTGTACAGTAATGAACCCATGTTTTGTCCATAGTAACAAAACGATTCAAAAAATCATCTGCATCGGCTTCAAATAACTCCAAACAGTCGCGTGAAATAGTCAATCGCGTCCTTTTTTGTTCAACTGAAAGCAGTCGCGGAACCCACCTCGCAGACACCTTGTGGAAACCCAACTCGTTGACAATGATGTTTTGAGTTCGTTCATAAGAGATGCCTATAATCTCGGCTATCTCTCTAATTTTTAATCTGCGGTCTCCCATTATTAAATCAAGTACTTTTTTTAATATTTTCGTCAGTAGTTGACGTCGAAGGCCTTCCAGAGCGGGGTTCATCTTTCACACTCTCTCTACCACGCTTAAATTCTGCTATCCATTTTTTTTAAGGATGAATATGACAGAGCACAATCGCCTAATGTACTGACCATGTCATCATGGATGGCTTTTGATGATAGCCCCTTCTTATGGAGGTACTTAATGACAGCACGCTGCTCGATTTGCTCCATTCGCGGAAATTATGTCCGATTACTTTGTTAATAAATTTATAAAATCACAACTAATTATCGCACACGTTTCGAACTTCACACAATGAACTAGTCTGAACTGAACTAAATAATGTGAGTAGATTTGATTTTTAGAATTGAATGGATCTGTGTTAGGCCGAGTACTTTTCAATCCACCCTCGTAGAATAAGGGTGACAGCATTCCAAAACAATGGTAAGTGGAATGCTGTAGTCCATAGACATCTACATTTATGCTTGAGTAGAAATCAAAATGGAGATGCGTTGTCATCTCTGAAGACGAAGATGGAATGCCTCGCTTTCAGTATAAGGGTTTTTCGGTTCTCTACCACCACACATATTTCGTATATTAAGCTACTATATCGCTCTGGTATTCTGTGAGAGTGTGGTCTTCCCCCGGTCGAATCGACCCATTCGTACTACAACCATAATAAAGTATAGCTTCAGCAGGGCTCTACCGTGTAACTTTCCCTTTCCCTTCTCATTTTCTTTTCTTTAGCTTCAAAGTTAAGGCTACAGTCTTTTAAAGTTGACTCACATCGAATCATTAGCGCCACTTTGATTTCTTTTTTTACAGCAAATTATTGTTTCAGAGTAAAATATTTTGATAACACATAAATACCCCGATTATAAGTAATGGCTAAATTTTTTTTTGGTTCATCTATGTGGTCTATGTTAGATAAATCAAACGGTAAATAGAGCTCTCTCGCACCCAACGCAATTTCGAGCTTTGTTCGTGTACCATTATAAGGCAATCGATAATAAAAAGGCGAAATCTATTCAGCGCGTTAATAGCTAAACATCTTCATCTCCAAAATGCGCTGTTTCTTTTTTTCTAAATATCTTTCATTGTCTTAAATAAGAGGTCTCAATTTCGTTAAATTTCGCTGTTTTCGCCTCATAAAAAACTATTTGTTTCATAGCAATAGCTGAAAATATTTATGCTATAATTATTTTTTTCTCAAGGGCAGGTGTTTAATTAGACAAATATTAAAAAATAATAATTTAAACCACTTTATTTCAAAATTAATAATTATTTCGATCGACCTATAAAATATTGACTTTATAAACAATAATTGCGGGCAATATTCCTTAGTAGCCGCTGAGCGGCTGTAGCGTTCAGACGTCTTGTCTGTGCCAAATTTTTGCACTTCCTCTCGCTCTAACATTCTTCTTTCTCTCTCTTTCCCTAATCTTGGTTGCGCATTGTTACGAATTGAAAGTTGCTCTACTTTATTATTTTTTGCATATAATTCTTTAAGGGTTTATAAATCATTTTGTATTTGTTTTATAACTTTTAATTTCGATATGGACCATAAACGTAAAAAATATGCTTGTACCAGAAAACGAAAATTGAAATCAAACGTTGAAGCAATGAACAGAAATAGAATTCAAAGGTAAGTTTTTTTTGTGTTTCATAGTAAAATAGTTAACAACGTGCATATGTGTGAGCACTTGGTTAAATATTAGGTATATAATTAGGTAGGTACTTTTAAGAATAGTTTATAAATGAGATGCATATTTGTAATGCATATAGGTAAATGCTATACAAAGTTACATTATACTTTAACGAGAAACTATAAATATGTGTGATAGTGGACTGTTTGTACTTATATAGAAATTATTTTGAGTTTTTTTTTTAATCTATTTTAGTATTTAGAACTACTTGACGTACTTGACGGATTTTCGATAGTGTCATCGACTTATTACGAAACCCTCAGTGCACGACTCATTCTAGCACTTGCCAGATTCATTTGAATAATCAATAATACGAGTACATGTTATACAGGTTCTAGATGATTATCTTTTAGAAACCTTTTCAACAAAACAACAAAAATTATACAAACTTAAAATATTTTTTTTTTGTGTAACGAATTTTGTAATAAAAGCATGGAACAAAAATAGATACGAGGTAGAAAATCTGTATGTGAAAATTTGTTAGCTAATTATCAATAATCCTGTATATTAGATAAATTGATACTGGAAAATCTTAGTAGAGCAACTTTCCACGCTACGGCCAGAAAGATAACTGCGGTGGCGGTACATGAAGTGGCGGGGCAGGGAGGGTGTAGATGTGTCACCAGAACGCAATTTTTCTGTTTTGCTCTGAAAGACTGGGCTCTTAAGTGTGATCTTATAGGACCATTAAAATTTTTTTATGGTTAGTTAATTATTTTTAACAAATATAAAAATAGCCTATAAAAGTCAGTCGATCTCACAATATAATATATAAAATATGCTGAGTGTATCGAGAATATATCGTAGTAGGCGATTATGCATAACAGAGGAATCTTATGGCCTTCAATAGATACCGGTGAACATCATGTTCATGTCATACATCAACCAGGTACAGTACCAGCGAGTGGTAGTGTGTGCTGAACACTACTCGCTGAGCTTACACTACAGTGGTATACACGCAACAGACGTACTGACTGCTCACTACTCACCATGTGGCCGAGCTGGACGCCAGGCTGCGCGGCCAGGTACTGTACCAGCGAGTGGTAGTGCGTGCTGAACACCGCCCGACACTCGCGTGCCGCCAATTCTACGCACACGGCCGACGCTATCGCCGTACCGTCGTAAGTCGACGTACCCCGACCTGCCATTATCGAAACAATTATTATTAACAAAAACATAGATGCACATATTTACAGATACGCCTTAAAAGTTATATTTTCGTGATGGAAAGGTAAGCATATTTTACCAGTGGACAAACTGACTTACAGTGCAACTACTGGTAAGTGGAAACTGCAATCAAAATGTTACACAGAACGCATAGTCAACTCTGAGTACAAAAATGTAGTCTCACAGCTTGTTATCATACTGTCATCGCTAGATAGTAAGTGACCATTGCTATCATCACCAATGAACAACTGCTAACCTAGAGGAATCCTTTCACACGTGCTGGCGATAAAGGAAAACACCGTGAGAAAAAAAATTAAATTAAATTCTTCCTTGGAAGAATTACGTAGCCGAGTCCGGGCAGCCGCAACGAAAATAAAAGCGATCGACGCTATACGGGACTGCTCAGGAGAGCACTTATTTGTAACATGGTAGAGCCAGTTATATTAGAAATATAGTTGTAGCACGAATGGGTCGACTTGACCGAGGAAGGACCACGCTCTCACAGAATACCAGCGTGAAAAAGTAACTGAACGCTGCTGTTTTTCATAAGTGTAGAGAACCGGAGACCCTTTTTACTGGAAACGAGAGGCATTCCGTCTCAGTCCTCACGGGTAACAACAATGCATCTGCATTTTGATGTGTAATCAAGGATAAATGCAGATGTTTATGGGCCGCAGTAACCACTTACCATCAGGTGGACTGAATGCTCGTTTGTCACCCTATCTTATAAAAAATAAATGTAGGTGTCCATGGGTCACAGCCACCACTTACCAGTTGGTGGACTGTGTGCTCGTTTTATCACCCTATCCTACAAAAAAAGACCGACTGTATCCGAGTGGGTGGCAGACAATTCAAACATTTACTATAAAGTATTATTAACATCGAGTGTTGCTTTTTATTATGCTTCACTCTAGTCTAGTCTAGTCTACATGAAAGCGCGCGATCAAATGTAGAAAAAAATGGCGGCCCATGTATCTAAAAACGTGCGGCTAACGCCCGGACAACGAGCGTTCTAATCAAAATCTTACAGGGCGCGTTGTACGCGCGTGTTGGGAAGTGTACGGATGTTTCGGAGTAGATGGTTTTTAAACAAGCGTTTCAAAATGTTTAATGTGTACTCGCTCTTAAGGTTCTTCAGAGTCTTAAGATTCTTCAGATTCCGCAGAATCTTCGGAAATCTTCTACTGCACCTGTGGACGCCTCGTTTAGAGGCAAAATACGTGTCATATTAACGACGGTAGTGAGTCTTTCCTAGTATAGTCGTGTTGAGATTAATAGTAACGGGAATAGTGCACGCAATTGAGGAATGGCGAGCGGTGCCCTTCAAACTAGTTAAGACACACCATTTTATTTGATTACGCGGATCTAACTAATAATTTTGAACATATTTAAGAATACAATGATTTGATTCTAGGAATGTTTTCTTAGTAGGTATGTATTGATTAACCATAAAAACGTGCGTCATCGTATTTGTAACCGCAAAAAAGCAGGTTACAGCCTATATACGTCCCACTGCTGCGCCCTCCTTTCTGCCAAGGTGCACCCTCCTTTCTGCCAAGGTGCGCCCTCCTTTCTGCCAAGGTACGCCCTCCTTTCTGCCAAGGTGCGCCCTCCTTTCTGCCAAGCTGCGCCCTCCTTTTTGCCAAGGAGGGTCGCGTCCGTATACGGCTTAGAGATCTCTAGTTAGACTGTTAAGCCAGTCCCTAAAAGGTGGGGTTTAGTGGGTAAAAGTCTCCACATAACCACGCAGCCGGCTGCGTGGTATGCTATGAGCATTCACCGCCTCCCTCCCCCGCTTTCCGGAGGGTTGCCCATATTAGCTACGGGCGCAAAAAAAAAATGCTGGGCACAGGCCTCCACTTATTTCTGAGAGGGTTTCAGGGCAAGGAAGAGTCCGCCGCGCTGCCACAATGCGTGTTGGCGAACTTTACGTGTCTTCGTTATATTTTTTTCTTATTCCTCAGACATGCAGGTTTCTTCACGATGTTTTCCTTCACCGCCGAGCACGTGGAAAATCAGCACTTAAAATTTGCAATTAAACAACTTCATTGGTGCCGGCGGGGATCGAGCCCGGGTTACTCGCGTTCTAAACTGAGCTACCACGGCTATTTATAACCGTGCACTTAATAAATTCTCAATGCTACAAAAATATAATATAAAGAAAATTAAATAAACTTAACAATAATTTGCTCAATGATGAAACATTTACTTAGGTATATAGTTTAAATATGCCAAGGATTTTTATAAAACTTACCTAACTCATCTAGTAATACCAACGAATGCACTGTAGCGTGCTTAACAATAGCAGCAGTTTCGTTCATTTCAACTAAGAAGGTAGACTGTCCAGACAAGATGTCATCTGATGCGCCGAGCCGCGTGAATATGCGATCCACGAGACTTAGGCTGCATTCTTGCGCTGGTACGTAGCTACCCTGGGGAAAATACACGATTGCGATTTATATTTTATAACATCATACACATGTCACATGCCAAAATATTTTTTTTTATAGAATATGGGTCACAAACGAGCACACAATCGACCTGATGGTAAGTAAAAATGCTTGATGGCTCCGTGGCTTAACAATGAGTTACAGCGCTAAGGGCCGCGGGTTCGAATCCCGCACGGAACAAGTATTTGTATGACCTACAAGTAATTGTTCCGGGTCTGGATGTTTGTCCTTGTGAAATCTATGTTTGTAAACTGCCCCCACGATACAGGAGAAAATCCTAGTGTGGAGGTAACGTTTTAATTAAAAAAAAAAGAAAACAAAAAATGCTGTGGGCCATAGTTACCTACATCTATCTGTAACTAATTAGCAATCTAAATGCTGATGCATTGTGACCCTTAAGAACTTAGATGGAAAGCCTTATTTCCAGTAATGAGGGTCTTCGGTTCTCTACTCTCATCATACGAAACACAGCTGCTATCAGCTGCTATTTTATATTATGTGAGAGAAAGCGTAGTTCATCTCCCCAGTCGGCCCCACCTATTCACGCTACAATTACTATAAATATAGCTGCAGCATAACTATAACATACTGACCAGTTAATTACTAGATTTGACTTACCAAATGTGCAAGAACGGTGAGAAGTCCAACTTGGCGCATGAGAGTGGACTTGCCGCCCATATTGGGTCCGGTGAGCAGCAGCAAGCTGGCGCCCTCTACACCCAACTCAGTGTCGTTTGGAATAAAATCGTTCACTATTGGAATGCATGGATGACGTCCTTCTACTATTTCAATATATGGCTGGAAAATTAATTTGAATGATTAATTTTATGTTATAAACTCTTAACATACTTGCTAACTATAAAATTATTGTAAAATAGGTTAAAATAGTGCATTTCTGCACTAGGTAATAACATTTTTGAAAAATATAGGAAAAAGGTTTACCTATATAATTTATAATTTTTTTTTAAACGATAGGGTGACAAACTAGCACACAGTCCACCTGATGGTAAGTGGTTGCTGCGGCCCATAGACATCTACATCTATCCTCGATTACGAATCAAAATGCAGATGCGTTGTCACCCTTGTTGTTGAGAACTTAGTGGAATGCCTCGTTTCCAGTAAAAAGGGTCTCCGGTTCTCTACACTCACCATCGAAACGCAGCAGCATTAAGCTACTATTTGATGGCTGGTATTCTGTGAGAGCGTGGTCCTTCCCCGGTCGAGCCGACCCATTCGTGCTACAACTATACTACTAATATAACTGCAGCATGGCTCTACCACGTGCAATTTTACATATAATTTTTACATATTACGCATTTTTCTGTTTTATTAGTACCTCTCTAGAATCATGAAATTAAAGATAAGGTCTACTTGCATTAAAACAGTAATCCCCAAGTCTAGAATTATAGTTTTCGAGAATAGGTTAAGCACTTTTCTAAGGCAAAGCCCAGTATTAATTTTCCAGACTACACACAATTTAATACTAACCTTTTTGGTTTTATCAAAAGTTATCTCCGGTAGACAAATATCGCCGTTTTGTTGTCTTGCGAACTCTGCGAAAGACAGCAATATGTCGAGAGTGGAGATGCATTGTACCGCCGCCTCCCACTGGTTGCGGTGCGAAGAAAACTTCTCGAATATACGACGATTAAGGTCCTTCAGCACTTTGGTTTTTTGTTCTTCGGCAGCGATCATTCGAGATAGGAAGTCCTAAAATAGATAAAACACTTACTAATCATCACACTTCACAGTTTATGTGATGTGTGATAAAGCCAAGCAAGCAAGTAAGAATAAAGAAAATCCTTCATCCCTCATAATTACTATGTTTTTATGTTTAAATGTATGTGTTGATTGGTAACTAATAATTAAATTTCTTTGTCATTTTTTACACAATCTCACTAAAACCATGTCTTACCTTAGTCTCTGTGGTTGAAAACCTTTTAAATCCTTTCCGTGCTCCTTCCAAGTGATATTCAGAGCCAGCTTTAGAAGCATTGCCGTGTGGCACTTCTAATTGATACCGTTTTTTGTCTGTACCCACGTATTTTAACTGGAACACATTTAATGGTAGAAATATAACAATATTCTAGCAAACACTTTGGAAATTTTTGACAACTAAGTATGGTCAGTAACACTGAAACCACTTAAGTGTCGGCAGTTATGAATCCGAAATTTATTTTTAAGAAAAATACAGAAACGAAACTACTGACAACAATCATAATGCAAATAAAAATTCGATGATATAATTATTTCTTCTAAAAATGAACTTAACGAAAGGGTGTTAAAGATAATGATTTATCACATTTATTATGTGCGTTTACTGACCCAACTGCACAACATGAAAAGTATGGTCTTTTCTCGGTAGCACATGCCACTTGGTGCCCTCTAATGTTAGTATAGCAACAATAAGTTTACTAGGTAGTCGGACACCTTTTCTGCATACGAGTTGTCTCAATAGGTACACTCTTACCTGTTTCTGCAGAAAAACAACAGTGCTTGCACCACTGTGTTCCGGTCTGTAGGGTATAGTATAATTATAGGCTATAACGCTTTCCATGTTAGTAGTTTCCTTTATTTGAAGTTGGCTGCAGGTGTTCTATGTTAGTTCATCAGATCGGCTTAAGGTTGTTTCACTTTTATTTAAAAAATAACAACGCAAGCGCAATACTAATCTTTAGCAAAGCTGCGTCAAAATTCATTTTAAAATCACATCTTAGTGATTTTAAAATAAATTTTGACGCAGCTTTTGATTATTTCAGATTAGTTTGACATTTTTTTTTTAATTTTTACTCAAATCGTCGTCGTCGTCGACTTCAAAATGTTTAATATCATGTAAGTACTGAAGACAATAAATAGTATGTTTATGTCAATATAAAGAATTCGAATGCGCATATGTAACCTGTTAGTGATCTTTTTTTTCATGTTTATTTACTAATAAATTACTTTATTCTATTCTTGAAAATGGGCAAGGGTAATGTTGGTTTTACTGTGTTGCTGCAGCTTATTTCAATATTCACCTGTTTTAGTATTAGTAAAGTGCTGGGCTTAGGTACTTTACAAATAGGATTTGTCGCAAAAGCGATTCTTGAGAGATGATTTGCTGATTACAGTACTCAACTCCTTCCGCCTTAAGGGTATTGCTCTTAATTACCGGCCTGGATATTTCAGTTAATGTGGCGGCTCTGTAGCGCAGTAGTGAAGCATTTGGTCGAGGCACTGCAGGATCGCAGTCTGACTCGCGGTTGCGACTGTCCAACTTTTACAATCTCCATGGTACAAAATGAGAATGGCACAAGAAATTGTGAGATTTAAAAAATCATGACTTACTCGACATTTAAAATATTTCTCCTGTTCAACAAGGTATTCCTTTAATTCGTCTTCAATCTGCTGTATTGTCTGCAGCGCACTGTCATACTCTTGGTCGACTCCCTGCCCTGGCAGTATGCGACCTTCCTTCTCAGCCTCTTGCTGATTAAATGCTTCCTGAAATGTTGATATTCATTGCTGTTTATGTACGAAATACTATTTACGCTGTATTCAACTATATTTTGGTCGACCCTTTCGTACTTTTATTTTATTTTATAGAATAGTAACAAACAAGCACACAGTCCACCTGATGGTAAGTGGATGCTATGGCCCATAGACAACATTTATCCTCGATTAAAAATCAAAATGCAGACGCGGTGTCATTCCTGAGGACTAAGATGGAATGGCTCGTTTCCAGTAAAATGTCTCCAGTTCTGTGTCGTCCTACCCGATTAGTGCTACAACCATAATATTGCAGCAGCGTGACTCTAACCACGTAAAAAATTACACTAATGACGTACGTTATTAACTTCTTTATCTCCCATTGAAATGAAATGAAATAAATTTCTTTGATGCAAAAAAAAATGTTCGCTGTTTGTTTATCAATTTTTTTTCAATATTATATGGTTTTGAATTGAGAATCCTTTGACGTAGAAAAAAGGCGAAAGAATCTTTGCAGGTATATTCTTTTTTGCCATTTTTTTAATGATAATATTAATAACTTAGAATGGGTAAAGATAACAGACAAATCGGTAATTGAAACATGTTCTATGATGTACTAACATAAAAGACAATTAAAATTTTGCAGTTTACTGGTGCAAAATGGACCCGAGCAAACCAGTCCCCACAAGCGGCATGTGTTCACAAGAATTATGCACGTGGCAGCCATTGCTCCGCGACCATATTAAAGGAAAATAGACAACCATTCACAAACCGCCACCGCACCTTCAGCGAGCGCATGTCTCCCCACAAAACAGCAAAATCATTTTCGTCAGCAAAATTCCTAGAAGCACTAAAATTGTCAATTATGAAACCTTTATTTAAAAAATGGCGAAAGGACGATGTTCAAAATTATCGTCCAATCACCTTAATACCTATTCTGGCTAAAATCTTTGAAAAATGTATGTATAAAAGAATAGTTGATTACTGTAATAAATACCAGATAATTAAAAGTGAACAATACGGGTTTCAAAAACACAAATCAACCTCACTTGCCATGATTTCGTTAGTAAGAATAATACTTTGTAACATAAACAACAGACAATTAACAACAGGATTATTCTTTGACCTCTCAAAGGCCTTTGATTGCGTTTCACATGACATATTATTACAAAAATTAGAGACAATTGGGATCAGAGGACCAATACTTCAGTGGTTATCGTCATATTTAAAAAATAGACAACAATATGTTATCATTGATAAAATAGATAAAAACAATAAATTAACATCTCATTCATCTGGATATAAATATAATAAATTTGGCGTTCCGCAAGGAAGTATATTAGGACCGATTCTTTTCCTATTATATATTAATGATATTGTTGACATTACGAATCATAAATGTGTTTTATACGCTGATGACATTTCAATTATTGTGACTAGTAATAAAAATAATAATACAATTAGGAATCATGAAGATGACATTAATAATACAATTGACAAATTAATAATAGAATAGCTTGACGTAAATAATTTGAAAATTAATTTAGATAAATCTCATTACATACAATTTAATAAATCTATCAATTCAAATCATAATCCCCGAAACCGACGTGACCCAGAAAAACTAGTTCTAGATATTATTCCTAGAATCGTTAAATACAAAAAAAGTTGCCTAAATATGTGTATAAAAATATTTAATAAACTACATAATGAATTTAAATTAGTGAAAGATTATTTAAGAAACATTTGTTTAATTGGTTAAAAACCGAATGTTATTATGACGGTAAAAGATTTTTTAGACTGCAATTAATTAATATTGTTGATTCTATATTTGCATGCTATTTACCATTGTTAGCGAAACACGATTGCACTAGACAACTTTTTATACAGTGATTCTTGCAAATAAAAATTTATGATTTAAAACACAAGATGGTTTATCAGAAACATTTGTAGCTGCCTTCGCTCTTACAAAACTTTCAATGTAGCTTCATATTGGTATAGTATCAGCTGTATCAACCGTGGTAGCTCAGATGGTTAGCGCTCGCTGTAAATTTCACAGTAGGCGAGCAACCCGGGTTCGATTCCCGCCGGCACTAATGAAATTGATAATTGCAATTTTAAGTGCTGATTTATCACGTGCTCGGCGGTGAAGAAAAACATTGTAAAGAAATCTGCATGTCTGAGAAATAAGAAAAAAATATTTCTAAGCTATGTTGAAGGTCACCAACACGCATTGGGGCAGTGCGGTGGACACTTCCTTGTCCTAAAACCCTCTCAGGAATGAGAGGGAGTCCTGTGCCCAGCAGTGGGACGTATATAGGCTGTAAGTTTAAGTTTAACGCGTCAACAAAGGAACAAGAAAACCTAGAAAACCTAAGTGTTTAAGAAATACTTTTCGAGGGAATGTGAAGAAGCTAATCCTACTACCGGCGAGGACTAACTTTACCATGTTACTTTACCCTTAATATCAATGATCACATCACTCCGTACGTGTTTTTTATACCCATTTCCCTCTTCTTGATCAAGTGGTCCATTACCACACTGGACATGAATCTCTTTCATTGTAGGAAGGTTTTTCCATTATTACGCATGAGGAGGGAATTGGTGAGAGCAGTATCAGATATCACGCACCTTTGACGCTGCTTCAGGTCACCAATCTAACTATTTTAGTTTGGCGTAAACGAGGTGGTTATAACGTCATTTACACCATGTAAGATCTTATTTACATTTTCCTCCTAATCTCATAGTATATGGATTTACGTCATGAAGTTGTTGGGTTCGCAAACGTCATCACTACACGGAAGCACCTATCTAGTGAGTATTCAAACCTTGATTAGTTCTTATCTCTCTGCTTTCGCTTTGTTTTTATACTCGAAAAAATGTGCAAATAATAAAAGGAGACAGAAATGGCATATATACCTTAAAGAACTTCAAAGTGTCTTTATAGTCTGGGAATTTTCCTTCCGGCTGGAATTGAGTTACGCCTTTCAATAGCTGAGACTCGACATCAGAGAACAAGTCGACGAGTTTCAAAACAGCGGTGAAACCTTGCAGTACTGAGATAAAATCCAGAACTTTCCGCTTTGAATATGTTTTCTCTTCATAAAAAATCGCACGCGCATCTGGATGATTTTGAGCTCTCTTTAGATTTCCCAAGGCATGGACCCTATTATGAATAAATATGAGTGTTAGGATAGAGCGAGTTAGTTCGATTCCTCTGCGCGTATGCCTTAAATACATTGATAAACAATAGTGTATTTTAACTATGGCGGATGTTTCTCTCATGACTAAATGTGCATCCAGTAATGTGACATCAATTGAATAATGTAATATATTTTAATAAAAGTACGACTATATTTAAAAGTATTTCTGAGATATAAAACAAAATACCTTTGTTTTCACTAATTATTTGAATTTTTTATTAATTTATGCAACAGGTGTAGTACAAAAGGTTATTTGCATGTATCGTAAATGACTGCTCCTGTACTTAAATAAACTATAATGACCTATCTCGTAGCAGCCCATCTGATATTTTAACTAGCGGATGGATAATTACCTGACAGATTATAGTTATCTGATGACCCTTATTATAAAGAATTTCGTGATATAGTGTATTATAAGCAGTGAACGCAAATAAAACATGGAACTATCACCTCAAGGAAATTAAGGGCGCAACATGGCACTATATTACAAATTTGAACTTTGAAACTACATCACGGTCAAAAGTTAATCTTATTTCCTTATAATTTTGGTTATAATTGCCGTACATCATATAAGTCGCTTATAACGTTTATAATATTATAATAGCGGCAGTATACAAACTTAACTTTAATTTATTGCCTTATAGGTAATATAGAGCACACAGTCCACCATATGGTAATATTCTGTTAATTTTATTTAATATAGATTAAATGAATGCACATAGACACTTAATCTATCTTCTATTCTTAACTACGAAATCAGGACGTCAAACATCTCAGCCTCCCCCCGTGACCATGGGTGCTATAAAGTTCCCGAAACGTCGTGAATTAAAAAAGTTAAAACGAAACTTTTAAAGAGCTTACTTGGCCAATAGCCTTTCCAGATCCGGAAGCGTCGTCAATATGTTTTTGGCATCCTGACACAGCTCCTGATTTTCCAGTAACATCTTAACAGCTTCCTGGCGCTCTTTTATCACTGTAAGACTGCAACTCGGTGAACACACCCACTGGTATAGTAACCTAATAAGAGATATTTAAGATTAATTATTAGGGAGAAATTATTTCATTTTTTTTTGTAAAAAAGCAATTGTTTAAAAAGTTACAAGTAATTCATATTGACGTAAACATTGTATTAATAAGAGTTTAGATAACCTTAAAAAACATCACTTAAATCAAGTCGTTGTTTCTTATTGTGCTGTCACTTGAACTAGAATATTACGGTATGCAACAACTAAAACTATTTTAAATTAAGCATTACTGCCAGCCCTGAACTGGGACAATGTCGCAATGTTTCCAGTTCATTTTCATACAATAGTTTGAATAACTGAATTAATATAGATTATCACATAATATTTATCGAAGGTAATTTCTTTATTTACAACTAGGATGGAAAATACCTCCGTCCTGGGAAGAACCAGCAAGAAACCCAGCAGGATTTGTTTTAAAACATCATTTTATAACAATTTTGTACATTTTTATATGTATTTTAATAGATTCAGCATGGTGGCGATCACCTCATTCCCAGGGGTTATTTTCATTCATGTACTCCTTGATATTATAATAACACTTTTTGTACAATTTTTCTTTAATAAAACTTATCTCATAATCTTAATCTTATTTTCAGTGTGGGTAGGGGGGTACAACTACTAGATAAAATAAACAAGACAAGCCAGTGTTGACCTCCCCCTCTCGCCTCTACACTTAAGGACATGCAAGGAGTGGATAGATGGATAGGAGGATCAGGACTGCTTTGAGGAAATTTATGCGGGAGGCCTGTAATGATTATGATCATAATATAAATCAACGGATACTATACCTTTTACCCATAGCAGTAGAGCAGAAATTCAATTTGTCGTACAAGCAACCATCATCTTGCACAATCCTCAGATTCCGCAGCGTGATTGCGTCAAGCACCATGATATTCCCGCCTCGCCACTGATTTTGAGCCTTCAGCTCTGGCGATAGGGTTCTATTGATGACATCAGGTGGAGAGTAGGAAGTAAAATGAGCCATGTCCAATATTTGTATGTCAAGTAAGCAATCGGTTAAAAATGCAACACAACCTCCTAATGCTTTAATAGCTAAGTAGGAGTTCGCAGCTGGGGTGAGACCTAAAGCATCACCTGAAATAGCAATAAAACAATTTTTTTATTACGATTGACAATAAATTAGAATTTAATTTAATAAAAATATAATTATAAATTAGAATTATCATTTTTAGTAATTTGCATGCTTCGTTTATCATTGGCTTTTGAGCACAATAATCAAGACCACTCGTATGAAATTTGAATGCTTTTGAAAAACTAGTAGTGTGAGTAAGAGCCAACTACATCTCCCACTGCTGGAATTTTTGTCATCACAGAGAGTGTTTTCAATACAACTGCTGTGCTATGCCAATGCGAGTTGACAGACTTCACATATCCTCGAAGTATTTTTGTCCGGTTTTCTCAAGATTGTTTTCCTTCACCCGTCAGTACATATTAAATTAGCATATAAAATCCTAATTAAGAATTTTATGAAACTCGATTTATCCCATTGTAGTGTCACATAATAAATATCTTTTTTAAGCTATGATTGTATACAACAAGAAATAAATTATTTTGAATTAATGCTAACCTTCATGTAAGAACATTTTCAATCCTGCAGGCCAGTCGCCATCGGCATTGGTTTTATAGTACTTCTCGGCCAATATCTTTAACGTCTTTTCTGGTGTCCACATTGATAAAGGTTCCCTACGTGCGTTATGGCAGTGGGTCGTCAGTAGTTTGGAAGTATGTGATGTTGTGTGCTTGCGATCAAACACTAACTATAAAGATAAAATTGAATACTTCAAAATTTAACAAATCAATCTTGTCAAACATTTGGACACAGGCATCCTTTTATTGCTACAGTACCTTCAGCAGTGCCAAGTGGACTGTCGGTATATAGAAGTGCTGAAATATTTGTACAGTAGTGCTATCCAATTGGAGAACCAGAGTACGAAACCTATCCAACTGCAGAGAGGTGTAAGACAGGGTGACATTATATACCCGAAACTCTTCACCGCTGCATTGGAAGACATTTTCAAGCTACTGAACTGGAAAGGATCAGGTATTAACATCAATGGCGAGTACATCACTCACCTTCGATTTGGCGACGATATAGTTCTTATGGCAGCATAGCTGGAGAGCTAAGCACTATGCTCAAAGACCTCAATAGTGTCTCCCAACGGATAGATCACACCTATGCCGGTAGTTGTTGGGGACACTAAGCTCGAAGTTGTTGACGAGTATGTTTACCTGGGACAAATAGTCCGACGAGGTAAGTCCAACTTCAACCGAGAGGTCAATCAACGGATTCAACTCGGCTGGGCAGTGTTCAGGAAATTAGAACAAATTTTCTCGTCAGGTATACCTCAAAACCTGAAAACTAGATTACACAACCAGTGCGTGTTGCCAGTGATGACTTTTGGATCCGAGATGTTATCCGTCACAGTTGGGCATATGAGGACGCTCAAGGTTGCTCAGCGAGCTATGCAGATGGCTATGTTGGGGGTTCTCTGCGTGATAAACTTAGAAATGAGGATATCCACAGTAGAACCAGAGTGTCTGACATAGCCCAATAAATTAGTAAGCTAAGTGGCAATGGGTCAACCATATAGCTCGAAGAACCGACAACCGATAGGGAAATAAGGTTCTCGAGTGGCAGCCTCGTACCAGTAGGCGAAATGTAGAGCAACCCCTCCACTAGATGGAGTGACAACCTGGTAAGACATACAGCAAGTCGATGGATGCAGGTGGCTCAGGATCGTGCTTTGTAGCATTCCTTGGAGGAGGCCTATGTTTAGCAGTGGACTTGTGAAGGGCTGTAATGAATGAAGCTAATTATAAGGATTTAATCACAGTCCAGTTTAAATTTCTTTTTTAAATTCTCTGTAATCCTTACATAAAAGTAAATTATAGAAATTAGTCTCATTAAGGTATTTGCATAGACAACATGCGACAGTATACTTACCAAAGCAGGCGGGAAATGCGCAATGGTCGTCAGCAACCTTGAAGAGTGTTTGTCATCATGGAACTGTCCAACATGAAACTGTCCTATGGACGTGTCCACGAAGCAGACACCGTATGTGCTGCATCCATTGCTTTCCTGTAAATTTAAATAAACACATGTGTTCACCTTCCATTCTTGTAATGGATCAGATTTTTGGACAGTAGCAAAAAAACCTGCAAGCCGTTAATAGGTGGGACCTTGTACAAATAATAAGCGGATCACTGAGCTACTTCAGTTAAAGCTTGTCACTGCTTGCATCTGTGAATGCTTACATCGTAATTCGAGAAGATAAGAGAGAGAAAAATAACGACAGACTCACATAATGCATAATAGGTTAGTATACTGCATTATTTCTTCTGCTGGTAATAGTCGTAAGGGCGCCCGTACATCTTACGGCCTGGCCACGGGGAACGGCGAAGCGACAGGCAGGGCGACAATTCGCGCGGCGCGATTTGAGGGCCACGGGAAGTCACGTTTGCCGCCGCGACCAGATAGGCCGAGAGTGAAATGTCTATCAAAGTTATCTCGATATTGCTTGGAAAGTATCTAATTGTTTTTTGATTCAAGACAATATTTGAAAGAGATTGCGGAGTACATGATTTGAATAGGAATCGGGTTATAGATGGAGAATTCCACAACAAATAGAATGCATCTAGAAAAAAATTTCGAGTAAATACCAGAATGAGTGTCGAAACCTGGGATTATATTCTTGTTAATATTCAACCAGAATTGGAGATAAAAGTTAATGTGGATAGAATTTTAGGCTGTGCTTTAGTTTACGGTCGCACGATTTTCGTGATAATTTTAATAGGTAGGTGACAGGTCATTGAAGTAAATGCTAGAAGGATTTTCTGCGGAAACTTATAGTTTTCGAGAAATTAATTTTTTAAGTTTTATAGGTTAACTACTAGGAATAGTTAAATATACCTTTTATGCGTGTACTTTATAACATGTCGTAGGATAATATGATGAACAGATATCTAGGGTAATCGCGAAAACACGGCTAGTTAGATAATTGTTCTAATCATTTCGACAGATTCTAAAACCGAATTAGCACACCCCGACATCACGTAGTCTTGTCTGCCCTACCCCTAGAGTGGCTCTTTTGTTTTATTTGTGCCTACATAGTTCTATATATATATATATATATATTTTGTGTGAGTTCAGACCAGAACAAAACTGGTGACATGTCAGGTTTGGTAAGAATTGAGTCCGTTGAATGTAGATCAGCCCCAGAATCGAACCCCTGTAAGTAAGAAGGTCGAATGTAAAGCGTCAGACGGGGTAGAGAGAAGATTAGAGCCTCCTCCCCACTTGATTTAAACAAATACCATATTAAATTAATCAATATAAATATTTTATAGGTTAGGATAGATTTTTTTGATATATTTCAGAAACTATACGTTTCCGCATCCCCCCCCCCTTTTAGGGGGGGGTTCACCACTACCCCCCCCCACCCCCCAACCACCTCCTCACCCCCCCTCCGCGTGCGACCGTAAACTAAAGCACGACCGAATTTTAAGTTGTTTTTGTCGGCCCGGCATTTTTTGCGGTGAAAACAACTAAAATATTTTGTTCCCTTGACTATTCGCTGCGTCTGCCGCCCGACTCCGTGGCTTGCACCGTACTGATTCATACATTTGTTTCAGTCACCCGTCGCGCCGCCAGTCGCCCGCGCGATTCGCCCGGTAAATTTCGCTACGCGTGGCTTGATCCAGATCGTCCCACGGCGAATGTCCCGTGGCCAGGCTGTTACTCTACACTCATCTATTAGTAACCAGTAAGCAACATAGTTTTTATTGTTTCTAATGAAATATAATACCAATAAGCCAGTTTGATAATTAATAGGGATATTTGTACAAAATATTGTTTAATAATTACGTTACAATAGTAATTATGAAGTTTATTTATCTGACTCACAAAGTAAATATCAATGTTCATTTGAGTCACCTGTATATTTCATTTAACATAATACAACTCCTAGTTATGTCGTGGCAGCTTAAGACAACCCTTCACCTCATACAATTTACTGACCTTCTGTTTAGTCTATATATTATCATTAAAAAATATAAGTAGTAAAATTAAAAAATTTGTACAACCAACTTCAATATAAATAAAATGAGATTATAATATATATGTATAATAATAATCATCAATGTATTCGGATTCAATTAAATACGCATTATTCAAGGATAACTCAAAAACTACTGGCACTGGCTACTGGCACCGGCTTTCCCGCATTTAAGAATCATCAAAATCGGTTCACCTAGAAAAAGTTCTGAGTTAACACATAAAAAAATATACAGTCGAAATCGAACGTCGAATTGAATACCTACTCCTTTTTTAAATCGGTAGAAAAAAATCCATACCTCTTCAGCAATAGCCAATAAATAGACAGCAGCAGCATCAGCTGGCCCTGGGTCTTGCAGACCATACACTTGTGCACCACGGACTGACACCTGACAAATTTCGCGTCTCACTACCTTATCCGCTTTGCTTGTTTGCCCATCTAGAAAGGAAGAGAAAATGTTATATATCTAAATATTCTCGACAAATTTAGGCTTCGGGTGATAGTAGTCATAGTAGTTAAAAGAAAAATATAAAATTTTTTTTTGCTAATTATGTATTTTAAAAATTACAAGCATTTATAAAACATATCGAGGAAATCTACACCCTGTGACGTGTCTTTTAACAGTTGTTGCTACTAATTTAAGCTTTTTTTAATTTTCTTTTTATTATATAATCCTGAATAATGCCTTTGAAACCTGTTGCACAAAATTTACTGCCAATTGCTCCAGTCCAGAAGAAAATTAATTTTTTTCCCAACCAATTATTCAGTCAATACTTTGCCCAGTTTTAAATTACTGTACTGGAAAAAAATACTACACGAGTTTGGCAAGTAACTTAAAAAGTAGGCGCATTTAATAAGGATTCCAAAATGGTATAACACTTGCAAGATTATTTGATAAATTATGGATTTTAAAAAAACCCAGTTGTAAATATCACCAGATTCTGGCTTGACATTGACTTCTGGGACACCTGTATGTTATTTTAATAATCCATAAAAATGACAAATTCCTGGTTGAGTTCAGTCATGGTGACAACTTATGAAAAATCATCTAATCTAATCACACATCTAAGAGCATGATCAAATGGACAGTACAAATATTGGGTGCGTTTGGCAGAAAAAAGCGCTAGCAAGCGCTTGTAAACAAAATGGCGATCGTAAGCGGTAAGCGCTGTCAAATCGTAAGTAGCTATTTTCCTCTAGGACACGATGTTAGTTTTAACCGGGGAACCTAACCTAATTTAAATATATGTTTGTAAAGTATTCATATTAAAAACTTACCAATCATGAATTTTAATAACATGTATATATGTTTATTCATGTCATTATATTACTTAAAACTAATATTGCACAAAACAACTTATAAACTCTACTTCAAAACAAACAAAATTAAAAAAGCAAAATGGCGGATTGTGTCAGCGCTACCGAAGTACCAATCGTGTCCTGGCCGAAAACTATTTCAGCGCTTATAAGCGCTTGCTAGCGCTTTTTTCTGCCAAACGCACCCATTGTGAAACAACCACAATTTGAATTCTGTCACTACTGTAGAATTTCAGTGTGGTAGAGCCATGCTGCAGCTATATTAGTAGTATAGTTGTAGCACGAATGGGTCGGCGTCGTGTCTATATTATGGTTGCCATTATATTAGTTTGACCGGAAAAGAACACTATCACAGAGTATCATTTTAATGCTGCAGTGTTTAATATGGTAAGTGAACCAAATGATCATCGTTTACAAGTGATGTCCCGAAAAATGGAGAGCAAATGGTACTATGTTATAATAAAACTTCCCTTGATTTACTTACATTTTTTACACCTCTCCTGCATCATTTCTGGTGTTTCAGTCTGCTCAACACGGGCGACTTTATATCCTTTTGACACTAAAGTAGAAGCCATGCGCCCGTACGCACTCTCAGGGAAACCCGAATGTGCAAACTGACCCTAAAATACACACAAATATTAAATCAATTTTTGATTGACTAACTTCCCTTGACCTGAATGCCAAAGATCTGGCAATCACTACACATGCTTACAAGTGTTAATTAAATGTGTTCAACAAACATTATGAAGAAACTGATGCCTTTTTATACACAAACACACACACTCACACGCGCACTCACGCACGCGTGCGTTCACACTGAATGGTAGTGTTAACTAATATAAATAATAATAATTGTTAAATAGTTTCTTCACCCATATTTTTATAGAACAGATAGGTTAAGTGGCAGAGAATGCCAATGGCACTAATTTGGCCTTTGCACAAAAATAATTTTATGCAATAAATAGAGTAATTATTAGTGAGAATAAGAATGAACAGAAAACAGACAGTAATGAACAGGAAATGGGCGGAAGCATGTTCTCGATAATAGACTCTGGAATGCGCTTCCCCTAGCAATAAGAAAATCACGGTTCATCTGACACATAAATATATAAATAATCTATAGCATCTATTGTATCTATTGTATATGTATGTATATACGTGTGTATATGTGTGTGTATGTATGTATATGTATATATGTATATATGTATGTGTATGTATGTATGTATATATATGTATATATAATTAAGTTTGAGCTATGAGTATATGTGTGTGTGATGTGTGTGTGTGTGTGGGGGGGGGGAATGTGAAATTTAACAATTTTAGGTTTCATCTTAGCCCACTGCAGTACACACATCTCCCACTAACTTTCCGATTGGCTGGTAGAAAATGCCATATGGCATTAAGTCCGCCGTTTGTACCTTTAGTACAATAAAATGTAAATAAAAAAATAAATAATAACTCAAAATAATAAGAACTGGGAACTGTGGTTGCCAATCCACCTGACCTGTCAATAATGGCAAATATCCTCTAAATGCAATATCCCTATGAGCCTCTATACAAAAGTGCACTTTAAAACAGATTGTAATGATTTATGAATGTGTAGTAAAGAATTTTCTGTCTATGTAAATGTCATTCAAAAAGTACTGTTACTATCTATAGAATATAAGACCCGCATTTTTTCATACTTATGCGACGTAAGTGGAGAATTGTTTGATTGAGTCTGTAGTCTTCCCACCAACTGTAGAACAAACGATTGGCACAAATGTATCCAATGACGACATTGTATACAGACTAACCTAAATGCGTGAAAAACATTGGTTGTAGCACGAATGGGTCTTCTCGATCGGGGTAGGATCGCGCTCTTTTTAATACTGCTGTATTTTGTATGGTGAGTGTAGAGATCCGGACTCTTTTTTACTGGAAACGAGGCATTCCATCTAAGTCCTCAGGGGTGACAACGCAACTGCCCATTTTTTTTGAATCTTAATCACACATAAATGTAGATGTCCCATAGCCAAGCATCCACTTACCATCAGGTGGACTGTGCGATTACTGCAATGATTTATTATATTATAATATACCAAATAAACTTCTTAGGTATTACCTTCATATAAGAAAACCCTAGTTCATTCACGCCAACTGCTGCATCCATATGGTAGAGTTCATAGAACTTGCCAACTTTGAAAAACAAAACACAATCAAAATGAGCCGATTTCATATCCCACCACTGCTTATGACCCTAAAATAAAAAAATAAAAAAAATTACTCAAAGACAAAGGTGGATATTAAATAATCATGATTTATGCTTGTAAACTTACTGGAGTTTGACTGTTGTAATAATCAGTTGGTACATATAGTGTGGTGGGGTCATAGTCAGGGTGATCTGGTCTTCTCTTCTTGGCATCTCGAATCTTGTCTGGTTTTAACCAATCCAGTTTGCAATGAGCCCAATCGCCATCATCAGCTATTACTGCTGTCTCTTGTTGTTCTAATGGCTTTGATTGATTTTTAGATGATCTGAACAAACGTTTTTCAATTTTATGATAATATATTACTGAAATATTTCCAGTTTAGATTTATACTAATAAATGCATTGATTAGATAAAAAAATAACAAAGAATTCAAAAGCAGTAATCTATCTCACCATCTAAGAGTTATGCTAGTATACAGACAATTTTGAGTTTAAACTTAAAATTCACAATGTCTAAATTTGTGTAAATAGTATGTGCTGGAATTAAATTAAAAAGAAAAGGAAATTGTGGAGTTTTAATTTTAAGCTCGAGATTATTTCTGCCTACTGGCCTTAGACACTAAGTAAAATATTTGTAAGAATGTTCTTTAAGAAAGTCATTTAGACATTATAAGTATAAGGAGTTATTTTTCGACGTGGTAGAGCCCCATAGCTGCTTTAATATGCGTCGCTTATCTATGTTTTGCCTGGTGAGTGTAGGTAGCTAGTGGCCAATTCCCTTGCTCCCGCTCCCCAATAACATGGTAAGAGTATAAACTAAAAATCTACCACAGGAAGGTTCCACTAACACAGTGACGCCACATCTAGATATCCACGCCCAAGCTATCCCTTCCTCAGGCATGGATGCTCAGCCCGCCCCACATATTTTGAATGATTAGCGAGCAAAACTCCGCTCTGTATGTCGCACGATTGTCGTGAATTTCTGCTACATACAGGGACTTCATTCAAAACTTAACCTCATCCACTACGATCTAGAGATGGCGAAGCCGGCTTGCTCTTTCTCACCGAGACAAAATTGTTTTCTCTTGCAGATACATCTATCTTTCTTACCCGAGTTATAAGCTAGAACAATTTTATGCATTTAAGGCTGGAGCTTGTGTGTATGCCAGAGAGAATATCTGCTTTCGACGCCTTGGTAGTCTAGAAGGCTCTGTCCGTCTTTTGGCTTATAAACCCCACAGTGTTAATGCTGAGACAGATTGACTCATTGACCATAGTGCAACCATTTAAATATGGTCACATATGTAAATGGTTACACTTAACACTTCTAAGTGCACAGTTTCGCATCTAGGTCGAAACAATCCCACAGAGGACTGTATAACATTGGATTGATAGTATTGTCAAGCAGGCAAACAGCATTTTATATGCAATCAGACAATCGTTTCAGCATCTGACTCCAGATACATTGGGTGCGTTTGGCAGAAAAAGCTAGCAAGCGCTTATAAGCCTAAAATAGTTTTCGGCCAGGACACGATTCAGATCCGCCGCTTGTGAAGTAGAGTTTATAAGTTGTTTTGTGCAATATTAGTTTTAAGTAATATAATTACATGAATAAACATAACATGTATTAAATTCATGATTGTAAGTTTTTTGAATACTTAAACAAATATTTATTAGATTAGATTCCCTGGTTAAAACTAAATGTGTCCTGGAGGAAAATATATTATTATCTTACTATCCCATTTTTAGAAGCCTTGCTTCTCGTCTTACATACGCCGCTGATAGAGACCCAACTGAGACTTATTAAATATTGACCCATAAATATATTGCAAAGAGCTGCTACATATTTTTAACAACAGCAGTATCCACCGAGCTAGATATCCTAACTTTTATTTACCTATACCTAACTATAATTGTTCTTATGAAATAATTTAAAAAAAAATAATAAGAATACCTATTTACTGTGATGGATTGGAGTAATGAATCCACTATTTTTATATATTTTTTTAATGACGGCTCCGTGCCCCAGTCGCTTAGCAATAAGTTATTCCGCTGGGAGGCCGCAGGTTCGAATCCCACACGAAACAAGTATTTGAGTGGTCTACAAATAATTGTTCCGGATCTGGATGTTTGTCCTTGTGCAATTCATTTTTGTAAACAACCACCACAAAGGGGATAACGTTAACCAAGAAAACAAAAAAGGAGAACTTGTAATATGGGATTCTAGAAATCAGTTTTAAATAAATATTAACAAAAATAAATATTTGTGAGTCATAAATATTAAGTGGACATAAAGTCGTAGTAACGAGACGCACATCAACCCGGCTTAAAAGATCTACGTTGAATGAATACAGACGAATATGTAAACGCGTCATACTCACCCACGAATACTCGGCGAGTCATAAGGCCTAGGCCGATGCATCAACGTCACGGGATACCAACCCTAGCGCACTCGTAATTCAAAAGCGATTGCTAAGGCATATTGAGAGCAAATTAGCAAAATTGACAAAAAATTAGTTGGCCTTCATTTCGAAACTCGTACATTAAGCCTACTTGTAAACTTTATCAAGATCCTTGAAATTAAAGTTAAGCTACCTACTATTTTTTCATACATAAAAACAAATACTACCCCTACCACTTCTTACCCATCAATAGAAGTTTTCTTTTCTTTGCTACTTGTAAGGGATTCATTAGGGTCATATTTAAAGCTGTCCTGCAACCTTTTTTGTAAAGTATCCTTAGGCTGTGTTTTGACATCTGGAAGCAGACAGATAAATCTAATTTATTGTTTCTTAAATTTTCATTACACTTTTTTTAAATACACTGTCATTATACCATTTTCCAACTTTTATAAATTCCATTTTTGTAAATAAAATACATGAAAATATAAACACAAAACAGAAAATAGAAAACTCAACACATAAAATGAATATGATGAATATAGGTATTAATTCATGTAAATTAGTGTATTATGTTTTAGTTTCATTGAAGTCAAATGACAAATAAAATGTTTTATAGCCCAGATGAACATTGAGTTGCCCTAACAGATGCACTTTAAAAAAAACAGCTTACAATCATGTATGTTACAATAAATAACACAAAATGGGTTATTATGAGTATGTTTATCCACCCTAAGAGATCGGTATCTTTTATCCATTCCAGACGGGGTGGATAATCGGAATTCGTATATTATTTTTCTTCCGGTTTTTTCCCTCGGCTATGTATAGTCATTTACTTAGTAGAACGTAACGTAAAACGAAGTAGTTTAGATTACTTAGTAGACATTAGGATTCTTACAAAAATACATACACATACTTCTTGATTATAATGTATGATGGTGTTTGTGAATACTATGAAAAAGACATGGCTCAAGGACGAAAATTACGTGGCTCTTTGGAATTCATTCAGTGTCTCACAGAATAGAAATTAATTAGAAATCTTGACATAAAACAATTGCAAAGTACATTAAGAGGTGAATTTATACAGGATAAACAAATACATCTACTCAATAATGAAATTAGTTTCTTTTTGGAAAGGACAAACAAGCATGTGGTTCACCTGATGGTAAGTGACTACCGCCGCCCATTAACAATCACAGCACCAGGGGATTTGCAGGTGTGTTGCCGGCCTTTTAGAAAGGAGTATGCTCTTTTCTTGAAGGTCCCCAAGTCCTATCGGTCAAAACTCCTAACTCCAGTACCTCATGAGCTAGCAGTTTATAATAGACTCCATTATTTTGGAGAGCAAGGTGATGGCGATAGGCCTGTTATTGGAAAGGTCTAAGCGTACGCCAGCTTTTTCAAGGGATCGGGTGTACCAAAGCTGTCTTCCATGAATTCGGGACTACGCCTTGAGAGTACGAGTACAGTAAAAGACGCGTTAAAACCGGTGCCAAGTCCGGAGCACGCGTCTTCAGCACAATGGGAGGGACAGCACATCAGGCCCACGAGAGGAGTGCTTTGCGAACCGAGCGCTGTGTGAACCGCACATCCGGCATGGAGTCCGGTGTGTTTCCCCCGTCATCGAGAGTCGAGTTATACGCAAAGAGAGAGCCTTCTTTTTAAGAGCGCTGGTGTTTACATCCCGAGATGTTGATGCGTCAGCCCAGGCCCGTTAGCACTCCTGCTTATAGCGTGATGCTATTTTACAGAAGCGACGAAGACTGATGGGCACACAGAGGATATGGTTTAAGACATTTATTTCTCAAAAAGAATACAATTCACTTATCATGAGAAATAACAAGTTAATCATTAGATATTAAATACATGAACTTACGAAGAACGGTAAGTACTTGTAAATAATCTGTTAAGTTGTGGATACACATAATGTTCTTACTTGTTGTGGGTAATAAGAAATGTAGGTGTACTTACACATTGTTATTAAAAGGAAGTCTATAGCAATTACAAATTGTTCATATTTGCAAGCAATTTAGATGGTATTTTTTTGTTAATGGTTATATATCAAATAATTGGTAAAATCAAATTAATTAAAGAAATAACATTAGCTTTTTAAATAAGTTATTGGTATTTAAAATCTAGAAAACGGTGGAACGGAAACCTGATATCTGTTCGGCTGAGAGGTCAGCAGTAGGTCAAACAGGGAAGGCGCATGATGCTCCACATCTGGAATCCGCGTAGGCGAAGAAACCAGCTGTGTAAGAACATATGCCAAGGCAAAGTCATAAACAGATCTCCCCGCATGATCGGTTAAACATGACCCGGGCACGGTAGACTGTAAAATCACCAAGGATCACGACTTCTGCAGATGGGATCTGATGTAGCAAGCAATCTGTAGCCATTTGGACGTGGTCGATGAGTCGGTCTGTTTCGTAATTATAGACGGGACGGACGAACGGACCTATAGAGGCAACTGTAGATGCGGGGATGATCGTCGCTGTCTATGCGCAGCCATAGGAGGTGCCTTCAAGACTGCAGAGGCATCGAAAACAGATGTCCTCTCTGACATATACACAAACTTTAGCCCAGTGTACTAATTTGTACACCAGGTAGGAGAGATATGAAGTATCAGCCGGACAGGACTCTTGAGTCTCAGTTAAAAAGAGCCAGGCCGGCTTTGCCATCTCCATCCATCATCCCCACCAGATGGCTTGATGTCGGCAGGGTTTTCTCGGACTCGGCAAGCGGCATCCGAAGCTGGTGGAGTGCGCCGCATGCGTTGGAAAAAAAATATAAACGCAAACGCATTGCGGGCGTACTATAGGGCGAAAGGGGAAGAAACTGCAGGGATAGCATATCAAGCTCGGATGCATTACTTTTTTGCTGAGCTTGAGCCGTCTATTCCCGTCACGGAACAAAACCTGGCAGACCGAGTTCGGTACATCATGCGCTCGAAAATATGTGATGATGCCGAGCTCGAACGACTACGACGTGAGGCCATTCCCTTATTGTATGAATTGGCTATGGATGGGGATGCGGCTCCTCAGACGACAGACCAGCATCCACGCGTGGAAGCCGCCGTGGATCTTCCAGTTGTGGTTGATTCGAACGATGATGAAATGGTCTTCCACGAACTAGAGCAAATGAGAAGCATATTGGAAGAGGCAATTTTGGAAACGCGTAGCATGCCTCTCGAAAATCATTCGCAACTTCCCCGCATACCTCTAAGCAAGCAAAATTGGGCTGTCGTGAGGGCTCTTAACCCAATGCTGACGCCGCAGTGGCAGTTTGCCGTATTGGCGTCAAACTTCCCATGGCTGGACGTGCTACTAAACAAAGTAACGCCATCCCAGCCTGGAGAAAAAAAATTGAGGATCGTATCGCAAAGGCAAGGGCCCTTAACGACAGACTGACAAGCTTCAGGTCAGATAATAATAGACCGAGGGTTGTGCGTACCGTTAGAATGTAGTTTGCTGGGTCAAATATCAGTTTGTCCCAGGCAGATATCACGTAGAAGCTAATGGAGCTCATAGACGACCTGAAGCAAAAATCGCTACTTGGCTGAAGCGGATTCGACGATTTACAGAGGTCAAGGCGATTCAACCAGAATCGTCTCTTTCAGAGTGATCAGAAGAGGCTCTATAAATTTCACGTATGTGCCACAGGACCGAATTTCTGGCGTGGCCAATTCTATTGGAATGGAGCTGGGGACGGATAAGTGTGCGGTCTTCCATGTTGAAAGGGGAAGGGTTGCTAACACTGAGGGCTCTATACCCATCAACTTAAGGACCCTTTCCGAGGCTGAAACATACCGATACCTGGGTATGTCACAGAACATCTGTATCGATGAGGCTGGTATGAGACAGTCAGTTTACGACGTGTTTTATGCACGCTTGACCAAAGTGCTTAACAGCCTTTTGTCTGGTGTGAATAAGACACACGCATATAACGGTTGGGTCATTCCTGTCCTCATGTATACATACCTTTGGCATACTCAGGACTCGGACTGAACTTAACGCCCTGGATAGAAAAGTCCGCACTACTATGAAGTCACATACGATGCATCATCCGAGATCGTCGGTAATGAGGCCGCGAAAGCATGGTGGGCGTGGCTTTATGTATATGTTCCGTAATTATTTCCTGGCGAGATTGGATAATCCATTCTATAAGGACGTCGTTTTTTGTGATAAAGGACTAGAGGGGTACTCTATACTTAGCCAACGAGCAGTGGAAAAACCCGGCAGTGCAGAGTATTTCCGTCGGCAGTGGAGAAGGAGCTCCACGGGAGGTTCTACAAGGCTCTACATGAGCCTTTCGTAGACACAGTAGCCTCCCTCCACTGGCTATGCTTTGGTGACCTCTTTGGCGAAATCGAGGGTTTTGTCTGTGCAATACAGGATCAGGTTATTAAGACCAACAACTATCAGAGATACATCCTAAAGGATGGCACCGTCAACATCTGTTGAGCTTGTCGCCATCCCGGTGAGTCACTTAGACATGTCATCTCCGGTTGTTCGGCGCTTTCTAACTCTGAGTACTTGCACAGGCACAACTTAGTAGCCGGAACTCTTCACCAGGAGCTCGCTCTGAAATACGGTCTTGTGGACTGGAAATTGCCGTATTACAAGTACTTGCCGGAAGCCATGCTCGAAAATGATAGCGTCAGGCTCTACTGGGACCAGGCCATCATCACAGACAGGACTATTCTTGCGTATAAGCCTGATATTGTGCTGATGGACCGGGGGCACAGTCAAGGATATTTTTGTTTGACATTACCATTCCGCATGACGAGAACCTTGTGAAAGTAGAAACAGATAAGCAAACAAAATATCTGGACATGGCTCATGAGGTAACCGACATGTGGGGCGGTCTGCCGATTGAAATTATTCCCATAGTTGTTTCTGCAAATGGACTAATCCCAGTCTCTCGGGTCATCTGAGGCGGCTGGAATTACGTGATGGACTACTCCAGGATCAAATGCAGAAGGCGGTGCTCCTCATTACCGCCCGCATCATCCGCCAGTTTCTTTCCCTTTCCCCCTAACCCTCGGCCCTTTGGTCTCCCCTACCGAAGGCCTCCATCTGGTTGGGCTTTTATTTATTTATGTTAGTATATGAAATATAATTATATTTATGTATATTTATCATTTCCCTTTATACAATTCATACAGCCCAATCAGATGAGGATACACTACTAATACCCCATATAATAATCCTTTATTGCAGACACAGAGATCCATATTTACAAGAAAAAATCAATAAAATAATTATAGCAAGAATAGACATGTTGCAATATTTCCAAAAGGCTATCTTCACGCAGAAACTTTCACCCAGCATCTGTATATTGCACTCTATCTGCCTACCTGCCAAACTACGCACATTAGAGTTGCTACACAAGTCAACTCTGGACATAAATGATGCTATCCTCTTTCAATGGATTGCATTAAAAGAGTCAACCCAAGATTTCACATACATTTCAGAGGCACTACAATATCGATTAAATCCCATTAGAAGTCTAAAAATATTATTATAAGTTACCCAGAAATGACACGTGTTGGTATAGTCTACCCAGAGATGACACGTGTAAAATGCTTGGCAGAAAGGTCTAAACAGTGTAATTTTCACGTCCGGCGATGCCTTGCAGAAATCTTCAGATTTAAAAGTTGATATGATGTGGAGTCAATGTAGATCTCTTGTGTAGTAGGATGATTGCCGACTGCAAGGCATCACGGATGAAAATTACACTGTTAGACGTTTCTGCCAAGCATTTTACACATGTCATATCTGGGTAGACTATACCAAGGAGACACATGATAGTAGGGTAACTTATAATTATTTTTAGACTTCTAATGGGATTTAATCTTTATTGAAGTAACAATATGGCCAAGATACTTGAAGTTGTCTACTATCTTAATAGATTTTCCATTAAGACGAATCTCCGGCACGCTCTGAGGTAGATCTAAAAATCATTATTTCTGTCTTTTTGGAGTTGGAAGTCAAGTTATGTTCTTCTGCATATGTTTCACAGATTTCAATTCATTTTTTCAAACCTTTAATCGAGGGACTGAGCAGTACCAAACCATCAGCATAGCTCAGGCTGTAAACATATCTGTCGTTCAGTCTGAGCCCTACCGGGGATCTGCCGAGTTCCACGGTTAAATCTGTCATATAAGTATTGAAAAGATCAGGTTAGGTAATACCCCCCTGTCTTACGCCACATATGAATATATTTTCTGTTGAACAGTGCTTGAGGTGGAAAGTTGGAACAATAATCAAAAAGTGAATTCCGATTACCCACCTCGTCTAAGATGGATATACAAACATGCATTTCCAAGTATCCACCCTAGAGTGTTTTCTTAGGGCGGATAAACAGAAAAACCCCACAAAACAAAATTTCATAAAACTTAAAGAATTTATTTTATTTTATTATTATTATAAATTTTTTATCTACTTTTAGAATTTTTACTTGTCTGTGTTGTTTCATATAGAAAATAAAGAGAACCTGAGACCATTTTTACTGGATACGAGGCATTCCATCTTAGTTCCCAAAATCTTCAAATAATTTTACCTCTATTCTCGATGTCAGAATCGTCGGAATCCACTGGATTAAGACGTATCCTTTTCCTCTTCTTAGAAGCAACAAGAACATCATCATCACTTTCGTCATGGGTTTTATTTTCCTCAGGCGAAGGAGTCGTTTGTCTTTCGCGCTTATTGTCTGTAATATTATATTTTTATTAATAAATAGGTTTATTTATTAGAATCTAAATAGGCAGTTTTTTTTCCTAGTTTGGTAACTACGGAATTTTACTTACTTTCAATTTTTAAATCTTTGTTACTATTAAACAAATTTTGGTTAGAAATAGCATCAGAACCAATATTATTTGATTTTAATTTTTTGTTGCTGGGTGGAGTTTTAGTGAAATAATTGAACAAAGTATTTCCGACACTATTACGCTTTGACATGTTTAAAAACCGATACCTTTATTAGAATAAATCGATAGCTTTTATAATATTTCAAAAGTACTCTGTGACACAAATATAATAGTAAATAAAACTGCAAAATGGAAAAGTAATAAGCCAAACCATTCAAACTTTGAACTTGATCTTGGGTTTAGTTTGGCGCAAATTACAAAATTTAGACGAAAAACGTCAAATACGAACGTCATTCGTTTTCTTTTAAATGTTTAAACGTCAAGTTAAAGGGTTTTTTGCCCATGCAGCCTAATATAATATTTTACAATATATTTTCTTGTAATATTTCGCAGTACTATGCCGATCTCTCTGTAAGGAGTAATTGTGGGCTGTGATGCAGATAGTCTTCGAATAGAATTGAACTTTGCTGCAGTATATTATGGCTGCAATACGAATAGATCGGCTTGATCGGGAAAAGAACACGCCCGGAGAGAGAGTGTGAAGTGTCATTATAATGCTATAATTTTTCGTTTGATAAAATCAAATAAATTAAGCAAAAAGAAAAAAAGACTCCGTTTTACTAATAACGAGACATTCCATCCAAGTCCTCAGTGCTGAAAACAACGCTTCTGCATTTTAATACTTAATCGAGAATAGCTATACACGTAGATAGTCACGTCATCACCATCATCATTACAGCCCTTCACAAGTCCACTGCTGAACATAGGCACCTGCATCCATCGACTTCCTGCATGTCTTACCAGGTCGTCACTCCATGCAGTGGGGGGTCGCCCTACACTTCGCCTGCCACGAGGCTGCCACTCGACAACGTTTTTTCCCCAAAGATTGTCGGTTCTTCGAGCTATATGGCCAGCCCATTGCCACATCAGCTTACTAATCCGTTGGGCTATGTCGGTCAATCTGGTTCTACTGCGGATATCCTCATTTCTAAGTTTATAGAGAAACTTCGAGAATAGCCCTCTCCATAGCCGACTTTGAGCGTCCTCATACGGCCACCAGTGAAGGACCACGTCTCGGTTCCGTAGGTCATCACTGGCAACCTTTTTTATTGTACAACTTAGTTTTCAGGTTTTGAGGAATACCTGACGAGAAGATGCGTCGTAATTTCCCGAACGCTGCCCAGCTGAGTTTAATCCGTTGATTGACCTCTCGGTCGAAGTTGGACTTACCTAGTCGGACTATTTGTCCTAGGTAAACGTACTCGTCAACAACTTCGAGCTTAGTGCTCCCAACAACTACCGGCACAGGTGTGACATGGACATTAAACATGATCTTTGTTTTGTCCATGTTCATCTTAAGATCTATTGGGAGACACTATTGAGGTTATTGAGCATAGTGCTTAAGTCCTCCAGTGATTCTGCCATAAGGACTATATCTATACCGGTTTTCCACCCGCTTTCAGAAGCTCCGCAATAATTCCATCATCGCCCGGGGACTTGCCGTTTTAAAGGTGCTGGAGAGCCATTCTAATCTCGCTCAGACTGACGTCCGGGATATCGTCGGAATAGTGTCGAATAAGACTTGCTCTTGGATCGTTACTCACACTTGCGTGTGGCTCCAACGATGATGTGTACAGTTGTCCATAGAACCTCTCAATCACACTCAGAATCTCAGGTGTCCCGGAAACGATGCTGCCACACTCAGTCTTCAGCTTTGACAGTTGGCTCTTACCGGCAGACAGATCTCTGGCAAAGACTTTGGAGCCCTGGTTCCGCTCGATCGCTTCTTCAATACGAGCAGTATTAAAGTTGCGCAAGTCTCGCCGTATGCATTTGGAGATCTGTCTGTTCAGTTGCCTGTATGCTGTCAAATCTGTTGACGATTGCAGCTTCGTCTCCCGTCTAACAGCCATGATATTAAGGGTGTGATCGGGGAGTTTGTGTTTTTCTGCGGACAGTTTCCACGAGCTTGTCATTCATATCGTCCACTGCATCGCAATCTTCTGGGCACTGAAAACGGCTTTGTAACTCAAGCTAAAAAGTTTCGGGACTCTGAATTAGAGCACGAGGGGTATGGAGCGTTGACTTCATTAGATGGGACCTCTCCAACTTAACTTTCAGGTTCAGTGTGGCTCTAAATATTCGATGATCGCTGCCAGTTTTCAACCTCGCGATCACTGAGACATCACTGAACAGTTGGCGTCTGGTCGTCATAATGAACTCAATCTCAATTTTGTCGAACCGTCGGAGCTGGGGCCGCTTCTGGAAGAAAGAGTTCATCATAAAGAGTCCCTCTTTCTCCATAAAGTCGGAAAACTGCTGGCCCCTACGGTTCCGTTGCCCTACTTCAAATTTCCCTAACTCCAGCTCACCGCTTTCTCTTGTGCCTAGTTTTGCGTTGAAGTCTCCCATCGACACCGTGTAGTTGGTTTTGGAGGAATGCATGGCTCTGGAAATATCCTCATACATTTCCTCCACCTCCTTGTCGGGATGTGCCGAGGTTGATGCGTAAACCTGTATGACCTTCAGCGAATACCGTTTGGTGATTCTGAGTATCAGGTACGCGACCCACGTCGATACACTCCCAATCTTTACAACTTTGTTGACGAGAGACTTGTGGACGATAAATCAGACACCTCCTTGGGACAGATGGTTGCCCTGCCGGTGATAGAACAAGTTGCCGGACTCGAGGATTACCGTGTCCTCCCCCTTTCTTCGAACCTCGGATAATCCAATAATATGCCAGCGCAACTTGTCTACCTCTTCTTCCAGCTCTAGTATCTTCTCGTCAGTCCTCAGGGTGCGTGCGTTATATGTTGCCAGGTCGAGTCGTCGTAGGTGGCAACCGAACCTCCATCAGAGATTCTTAGCACCCCCTGCCCCGTTGTTACCACGGTCGCCAACATAGCCAGGAATAAGGGGGCCGCCGGGGGACTGGGGGCCGTTTGTTTACGTCGTTATTCATGGGGGGATAGTCACGTACTCCAATTATTTTCAGAACTGTTTGCTCGTTTCTTGTTTGTCACTTACACAATTTAGTTTGTTGGGAAGAAATTTTACCGCCAAGGCGTGCGTCAAGGCCCTCCCCTTGATGATGATGGTGTACCCCTACCAGTAACGTGGCCTCTGGGGTTGCGGGACCTCGGGGCGACGGCACTAAACGCCTAGTACAGTAACAACGGAAGAGAACGATGACCATAAAGTGGCATCAAGACATTGTGAAAACACTGCGAAGGTGCTAGGGGTAGCAAGTACCGCCCCCAGAACGTGCTTCCAATAAAGCAAAGTGATAGAGATTCCGGGACTTATTGTATATACGATGTTGGTGATCACAGTGAGATTTTTGCTAGTAGGTTTCCGGCATAACCTTTCCGTTGACCCGTAGCCGAAAGTATTCGTGAGGATTTAAGAGCAACCTCAAAATTTATAATATCGCTTTGACTAACGTGTAAAATACAAAGCTACAATTGCAACATACAAATTATTATTATTTTTTCAATAAAAAGTGGTCACTCCAGGTTTTTCGCTGGTTTTTCCCGCGACAGAGGATTTTTCGAAATCAGTAGTAAAAACTTAAGTAACTTTCAATAAGCTAAATTCTAGTCATCTAAATTGAATAATTTTTTACTTTTTTATATTTAGTATATTATATTTTATAAATATTTATTTAATTTTTTTTGTATTCCATGGAAGAAGAGTACCTATTAATAACTAAATATCCCGGCTAGCCTTATCCCATCTATGTAGCGTTGCCATACGTCCCATATATACGGGACCATCCCCATATTTGACCATCTCATCCCGTATTTGTCCCATTTTTCAACAACTTTGTAAAATGGAAATGGCCTGAGCTGTGCTTCGGAGGTGGCCGGCGGTAGTTGAGTATACGATATGCGCCCAGTCCTATTATTATGTTAAAAAGGAAAACGAGATCATTACAAAACTAAAATAAACCTCTAAATATGATTGGGCGAAAAAATAGCTAATGTAAATTAGAATTGTTGTACTATAATTGGTGGAGCCACGTGTTTAAGGCTGCCGAAGTCTAGTTCCCCGGTCGAACCTTAAACCTATTGCGCGAAATATTAATCTAAGTGGACTGTATCTACTAATGCTTCTACACTTGTATATGCGGTACAATGCACTCGCTCTTCCCAAAAAACGAACTATTATGCCAAATCGATGAAAGGAATCCTGCTTGATTGGGAAAACACAAAATTGGAGCGGGTTAAAACAACTATATCAAGCAGGAAAATACTATTGGATATTGACTCACCGGGATGTTTCTTCTATGCGGTCGAGCACTATAACTGCGACTTCTGGAACACTCCGGAGAGAGGCGGTGAGGGACTATATCTCACACGAGGTGAGGCGGGCTTCCTGGAGCTCGACTGCTTCCAGGCTAAAGCGGTTTCTACTAGCGATGTGGTTTCAACGACTAGCGCGGCGGGAAGAGGCCACGCGTCGGTCGCGCGTGTCTTATATATCCTCGGTTCCGATGATTACGTGATGTTCTAGAATCATCTTCTTTCCCCTCCCACCCCACCACCCCGATGTGTCGATAGGAGGGTAGGAATGATATCGTTTTGTAAAGGGATAACCGATTTGGCAGCCTACCGTCAAATAAAATAAATACGAATGGTTTTCCACGCAACCAACAATTATTTCGAATAAAACCTTTAGACAAACCATCAAATTGTACAAGCGTTGATACACTGATGCCGCTGTACACATGCATAAGCAACGTAGGGCAAGGAATATGTAGATATTTTGATCTATAAACAAATCAACATAGTCCGTTCAGCGTGGGTAAGTGATTTTTATTCTTTTTTTATTCATTACAGCCCTTTACAAGTCCAATGCTAAACGTAGGCCTCCCCAAGGAATGCCACAAAGCACGGTCCTGAGCCATCTGCATCCACCGACTTCCTGTATGTCTTACCAGATTGTCACTCCATCTAGTAGGGTGGCGGATCTCAAGTGGCAGCCCCGTACCGGTGGGCAACTCCCACCGGTATAAGGCTGCCAATTGAGATCCTTTTTTCTCCATCGATTGTGGGTTCTTCGAGCTATATGGCCAGCTCCAGCAGC